CTGTACAGTAGCTAAAAACACAAAGTGCACTAGATGCCTGGAGCTAGTCCACACAGAGTCCAGTGCCCTAAGGTCACATTACAGGCCCCTAGTGTTTCTTCCCTGTGGGGTCTGGGTACGGCTTCTCGGACAATGCCGAGTTCTAACTAATCCAGTAAGCTGTAGTAGTGAGCACTTATAAGCTCTGAAAACAATAAGGAAATCTAGGTAGAACAAATAGTATTGATAACACCAAAAAAAGATGAGAAAGTTACACTAGGAGCGTGGGCAGTTATGCTGTTATTTAACAATTCTGATTTGCTGCTAGTGTCTCCTAAAAATGGCTACATAACCCTACGTTTCTGAACATCTTCCTGTAACCCACAATTAACGATTTAGAAAATACAATTTTCTTTCTTGTTCACTGAAGGACAAAAGGTTTAGAGACGGTTTGGAAGTTCAAAAGCCAACTGAGGGTTGGACAACAGCAAAAGACTAAAAAGACCACAAAAACAACATAGCTGGGACTGTCTGCAGCTCAAAGGGCTCCCTGAAGGACCTTACTCCTGAAGTTGGCATCAGAAGAGGCCTAAACATTCACCTGGTAAAATGTCAGGATAGTGTAAACAGAAGACAAGGTGGTGGTCCTGCAACTCTGATAGAGTTGTTCAATGCTGAAAAGCCCAAGAGGTGTTTATAGATATAATAGGGTGCACTTTAACAGGAAAGGGTGAAACGCAATCTTTGAGAACATAAGCTTGAATGAAAATCTGCCTGAGCCACCTAGAAATGGTGAAACGTGTAGCAGGTTCTCTTTTACAGGGATCGTCAAGAATGACAAAGATATTCTGTATTTTATTGGAAGCAGCGGCTGCAGGGTAGACACACACAGCAATAATTGCATCCAGATAGTGGCGATAAATAAAAGCTCCATCTAATGAAGCCATAAATAGGGACAGAAGTACAATGTCCTGGTTGAGAGAAAGGCAGAAATGACCTTAGGATAAAAGGAATACCACCTTATCCTTGTGCAATGCCAGACAGGTTCTTTATAAAATAAGGCTGCCAGCTCAGACAGACCTCACACACGTGATGACAACATGGAACCCAACTTTGTGAGAGTAAAAGGGATATCCCCAACAGGTTCCAAAAGTGAACAGAACAAGCAGCACAAAAAGGATTTATGGAAGTTCCAGTAAGTTCAATGAGCATGAAGAAAGGACACTCCAGCACACACACTTCTAAATCTCCCACCTGAGGTCATGTTTCTCTCATTACACAGCTTAATCGTAGGGACAGTGGCAATCAGAGGTGGGAAGCCAAGTCCATTTCATGCCATTAACTAACCAATAATTATCTTTAAAAATGTAATCAAGCATGAACAGGGTTCAGCAATGTGTTCTGGAGTGCCCTTTCTTCATGCTCAATAACTTACTAGATCTGCCATACATCACTAGTGTGCAGACAAAACCTTTCAACTTGTGTGGAGCAGAGGCAGGCTCCCAGGCTCTGCAACCTGATTGTGTTGTGGGATGTATTGGAGAAATGGCATACTGACAGGTTCAAATTGTTGCATTTGCGGAGGCAAACAAAAGCCAAACTTAGATCTCACAGTCACGAGGGAGTGCACAGGGGAAGCCCTGTACAAAAGTCTTAAATTTTAAATTAAGAAATGGGAAGCTGGCAATCTTTGGAACAAGATCATAACATGGAAGTAAACTTCCTAACCCACAACAACCTTTTGGGCGTCAATTCAGAGAAAGTCCTGTCTCTCAGAACTTGGGCTTTAACAGCTTTTCCTTTATTTCCTATGAAACAGGGCAATGAACTGACCCAAGTGAGGAGAGTCAGACATTCAGAAGAACCTACAAAACATCTGGAAGCATCTGATCAGGTCAGGAGTACCACAACCGTCTGGTACAATTCAGTGCCACAAGAATCATCAAGGGGTAGTTTGTTGATGTACCTGGACCAGGAAATCCATATATGGCATCCTTTACCTGTGACAGGTCCTGCAACACCTCGAGGTGAAGGAATCATTCCCTGGGGTCCAGGCGCTGCCGGCTGACAGTCTGTCTGCCAATTGTCCATATTTGGGATGTAAATGTCTGACAAAGCTAGAATATGTAGTTCTACCCAGGACAGAATTCTTTCTACCTCCTATGCTGGAGAAAGACTTCCGGTTCCTCCGTGATGGCTAAGGTGCACCACGGTATGACTGAATGCCATTTGGATGGCCCTCCAGTCAGCATGTCAAGCATTGCAGCGACAGCCAAATTGCCCAAAGTGCCAGAATGTGCAAAGGGACACAAAACTGCTCTAGCATTAAGTCCACTGTGCCGATAAACTCTTCCGCGTCCCAAAAAGACTGGCATCTGTTGTAAGGATTTTCTAAGAAACCAGGAGAAAGGAGTTTCCCAACTCCAGTGCAGAATTCCTGAGCCCCCAAGCCACAGACAACCTGGTCCTCAATGCCAGGTGAATATGTCTGTCCAAGGATTAGACTGACTTGTACCATGAAGACAGACTGTTATGATGAATGTACCTGGAATGCAAAATGCAAATGGTATTGCCTCGAAGGCGGCTACCATCACCCCAGAACTGTCATGTGTTAAAGTTTGGGAGTAAAGACTTGGGGGACTTGAAGTCCAAGGTTTGTGGGGAAGCTGGGTGCCTGGTTTGGGAATATCTGTGGGGGCTGAAGACAAGGAGCATCTCTTTTTAGCCTCTGAGGGAGATATAAACCTTCCCAGCCTGAACTATAGGGTTCTTTTGCAGTGACAGATGAGTACCCTTACTATGGTGACATCCTTGATAAAAAAGTCAAAAAGCAGCTTCAAAGACGACATTCTTCAGGTTTTTTCTTGCATGGCAGCTAGTATCTTTTGCCTGCAGGCTTCAAAAACAATTTGAGAGCTTGGAAGGAGACTGGATTACCTCTCATGGCCTTAGTCTAGTCAACTAGACTTAGGCATCCCAGCATTCCAACCAAGGCAGGTTGCAAGGCAATGCATGCCAGAGAGAATAAGGTATTGGAAAGAATCTCTAACCGCTTATCTTAAACACAGGTGCATCGTCCATTGGGATCATCAGTGCTTTGTTAAGATGGGATACTGCCACAGTGAGGGGCAGATAGCTTCTTAAAGTGTATCTATACCCAATTTTTTTTATTTTAGCTTTGGATAGAGTAGGGAAAAGTTAGAACCTCTGTTAGGTTTTGTTGCCATGTGGCTCTAGCAGGGAGATTTTCCCTCACTTTCTGAGGAAACTGATAATGCAAAGCTGACAGATGTCCTAGCACTCCCCTACTTAGAGAGCTTTCCCAATAAATCCTGTCTCGGGGACAACTTTTTTAAAAGAAGTAAAGGAATCTCTCCAACAGCAGTACAGACAGAAGAATGTAATCCCTCCCCAATATAAACAAATTAATAAAAAAAATAATTAAAAAATAATATAGATCCCTCACATGGATACAAGGCTATCAAATATTTGGGAGCTTGTCAGGAGTCTCTCAGTCCACATAAAGGAAGGGTGGAGCACTTAGACATTAAAGCTGCAGGCAGATTAAATAATGATGCTCCAGGAGAAAGCACAGGAGTTCACGTATAACATTTGTGGTCAGTTAGCAATCAAAGCTGAAATCTGGCTCAAAAATCCTACAAGAGTGCAATGGAAAAAAAAAGCAAGGGAGGCCATGCCTGAAGGAGCCAAGAAAGGCTCAGAATATGGCAGGGACTAAAGTAGAGGGCAAATTTTCAGGTCATCAATGTCAGGCCCTTCAGAGGGGACACTTCAAGCAGCGCCAGAAATGTTAAAGGATTGTGAGCCTGAGGGAATGGGTACAGCAAAGCTGCTCCTAGTGTTTCTGGGATCCAATATGTTGCACTGAAAACAGGGACAACATAGCTCATGGTACAAAGCTAGACCTTGAGAACTTACAAATCAGCTGCTGGTAGCAGGACAGATTAAGATGGCCAAAAGGTGAGCAGGTCCCTGTAAGACCAACTGAGGATAGTGCACGTTATATAATGGCGAACAGCAGTGGGAAGTTGCTTCCTCAATCCTGATGAGTGGAAAAAAAAATAAAAAGTTGAGTGCATGTGACACTCCATCTAGCAGATGAAATCAGTGTTCAGTCCCTCAGCGCAAACCCTTTCCATGAGACAAAAAACTGTAAATAAATATTGTGCCAAATAGTTTTTAATAAGGTAGCTCCAAGTGCTTGGCCTGAAAAACCTACACACAAAAATTAGATTTGAGAGTCTGTGCCACAGTTCTGGCCCCAATACACACTCAGTTAGCAGCTAATATTGTATACACAGTTCTGGAAAGAACCACAATGCAGAGCCCAGAGTCTGAAGGCCACATTCCAGGCAAGCCCTGTGTTCCAGGTATGGACTCCAAAGCTACTGTTGAGACCAGCTCTAGCAACTTATAGAGGAATCCTGACAACGGAAAGTCAACTTGATTTATAAAAAAACAAAAAACAAACCACAAACAGTAACTAGTAGGTAGCAAAAAAGGAAGACTTCTCAGCAGAGAAAATCCATTCATCCTCCAAGGATAAAGCTGGCTCTGTTTTTCTGTTTGTTTGCCAGTGTCCAAATCCTCCTGAAGTTGGCAGAATAACCCAACAGTCTTTGAATTGCTGTGTCCCTCAATCACCAAAACTGATTTAATGATTTTTTTTTTTAAAGAAATACTTATTAAGCTAAATGGGTATTTCTTTATTTCTGTCTAGAGTCAACTTTTAATTCAAATAAAAGTAAATATAAAAAAGGTAAAGATCCTGTATTTTTTTTTTTTTTTTTTTTTTAAATCTATTGTGGATTACAGAGCAACAATGAACTATGCTATAAGGCGATAGTCCAGGTTCCAGATGTTCTTTCAAGTACCAGACACAAGACACGTTACTAGCGTGTTAAAATTTTTAGGCCTGGCACTAAAACATATTGTAAGGTTCTTTACATGCAAGATTAATCACTTCCCATGTCTGTGCTTTGTATACAGAAATTACTCACAGAAAGGTTTGCGCTGTTTTTTTTTGTAAACAAGATTTGACATATCTCTCGAGCTCTCTCAGTGTGGTGGGTTTCAGAGTCTCAAAATCGATTTCTATCTCATCAGGATTGGAGTCTCTTAGGGATGGTTCCCGGGACTGTATAATATGGACGACTCGGCCTAACTTTTCACCCGGGAGCCGGTTGATGTCTAAACTGAGTTGTCTCTTTTCATCGTAGGTCATGGGTAGACCCTCTTCCTCCTCATCCGAGTCGTAGTTGGCGGTCGGAGGCTGCTTTCCTCCTTTCTTCGGTTGCTTGCTGGGAGAGATATTTGGAAGCACAAATTAAAAAAACACCACATTAAAAAGTGTCCTGTGTCTAAAGACGGAAAGTCTCATGAATAACTGAACAAATGCTATAAGTGGGGAAAAAAAAAAATTAAACCCTCTTTTTTAAATTTTCTACTGAATTGGTCATTAAAGCTCTGCTGGTAGTAAATGTCATAGCCTAAACTACTAGTAAAGCTTTTCTATGGAGGTAAAATTTTCCCTCTTCCAGGCACCTGTCTCCATATAATCTGAACATGCATGATCACTGAAAGTTTTTCTGACAAATCAGCTGACCCTCTAGAAGCTAATTTTAAGTCAGAACAGTCCATGTTTCTCATCCCTTTGTAGAAAGTACTGTAAAACAGATTTAGCCCCTGTTAACGCTAGTTTTCTTGTGCAGCTGCTGCTGCGCTGCAATGCACAACAACGGAAACCACATTATTCTCTATGGTGTCTGTTCACATCAATGCAGCACATTTTTCTTTTTCAAAGGTGAAGGTGCTACTTTGGCACAATTGTAGTGCATTGTTCCTGCATTGGCCTTTATGATGTCAGGGGCATTTGACTGCTGGAGCATAGGGAAGAAGAGGCTGTGTGGACCAGTCTTGCAGCACAGAGGAGCCTGCAAGAGTAGAGGACAAGGCAGGTAAAACCGTTTTTCCTGGTCCCCTAGCTGTACTCAACAAGCATTTAACAGTCCCACTGCAAGGGAGGCTGTTCAGTTTCCCTGGAGCTCAGTTTTAATGACATCAGGGCACCCTTTGCACCAAGGGGAAAAGAAGTTAAAAACAGCCACGTACTATACAGCGAGCACTCTGAAAAAGTGTAATTATCTACCACAGGAGCTGTCCTAGCCTAATCAATAGATTGCTTCAAAGGGCTGGATACACACGATAGAACTGGCTATTAGCATTTATGGGAACACAAAAATATAATAAAAAATGTTGATTCAGGGATCGAATTTTGTTTGTGGATCAGGAAGAATTTTTTCCCTCAGATAAAATAAATATTTTACAAGGGGTTTTTGCCTTCCTCTGGGTTAGATGTAGGTTTGGTGTTCTGAGGATGCAAGGTTTTTAATGCATCTATTATGTATCCTCCTCTATCGCACCTATTGCTCTCATCTTTAGACCAGGTGTCATCCTATAATGATCATACTATTTTCATATTAGTAAAAGGGATTGTAGTGATGATCAGCCCAGCTGCTGCCAAAAGGGTTGTTTGCAGTTTTTATTTCTTAAAAACAAGTTGGGAAGTTGGGTTCCCGTGCAAGGCTTAACCATTAGACATATGCAATCTATAGAAATAATTTGTGTTTCACAGCTTCCCTCAAAGTATTTGATTTCTTTTTACACTATGAGAAATAAAGGACATGTTGGAAGGGGGTGTTTTCTACCCAAGATTGAGTGTAAGCTACCCCAAAAATGAAGATTCTTTATACATTTTGGCTTATTCTTATTCATATACTTTAGTTCTTAAGTACTGTATTCTCTTCTGTTTTTATTTCTGTTATTGCTGGTACCTGGTGATCCTGTTAGTTCTCCTGTGGTCCTTTGTGAAACTGACCGCACAAAGCTGGAAGCTGATCCATGCTGGTGTGGTCAGTTTGTATCCATGGGATCACTGTTAAGGGATGCAGGACACCATGCACACATGGGTACATACAAGAGCTCTTAATAAACTTGGCAAAGCTAGGATTTATAATACCCAAAATACTGCTGCAAAAAGGTAATTCTTGGGCTGATACAAGTTGGCAAGGTGAACGTAGCAAAGCATTTTGGGTATGTGCTTTTGTTCTGACCTATTGGGAGCAGGGGCCACTGTAGTAGATGCAGTGGTGGTCGTCGTGCTGTTCGCTTTCTTTGTGGGCGCTTTCTTAGGTGGAACGGGCTTGGCTGGCTGGGCTGGTTTAATCTTCTTCTCCTCTTCAGTCTTCACCTTGTGCTTCTCTTTCTCTTTTTCCTTTTCTTTGTCTTTATCCTTTTTCTTCTTCTCTTTTTCTTTTTTCTCTTTCTTTTTCTTTGGTTTGTTGACCGGTGCCTGTGACAATGCAGCCAGCTGCTCATGTACAGCCTTCAGCTGGAAAGAGAGGATAATTACTGCATAGTATGATTTAAACCAAGGGTGGTCAATCTGTAGCCCTCCAGCTGTCTTGCAACAAAGTCCAATCATGCTTCTGCCCTTGGAAGTCACGCTTTTAACTGTCAGCCTTGCAATGCCTCATGGGACATGTAGTTCTGCAACAGCTGGAGGGCCACAGGTTGAGCACCCATGATTTAAATGCTCATTATCTGTATTATTGTAAAAAAACCTGTTATTAGGATTCCCCCCAGCCCCCATAATGCTCACCTGAGCCCAATCTCGATCCAGCGCAGTGCACAAGAACGACGCCTCCCTCTCTTCTCACTGGACAAAGAAGCAGCAGCAGGAACCATTGGCTTTTGCTGCTGTCAATCAAATCCTGTGATGAGGGAGCAGGCTATGGACACAGAGTGGCTCGGGATCAAGCCCACGAGTGTCCCCATAGGAAGTAGCTTAGGAGATGGGGAGCAGGTGGGGGACCCCAGCAGGAGGAGGATCGGGGAAGCTCTGAGTAAAACACTTGCACAGAGCAGGTATGACATGTTTATTTTTAAAACAATTAATCTTTAGAATCCCTTTAAAACTAAAGCCTGAGGGAGATTAAGAAAATTTGCAGGGAAAGAAAAATCTAAAAAAAAAAAAAAAAGCATTTTACAATTGCACATGTAAAACAAATCAGAATTTTAACACCCAATGGCTGTGTTTAACAATAACTATAATTTTCCATCAACTGAAATGGTGTATTAGCCGTGACAGGAAGGATATCTAATCTTTTCACTGTCTGAACAATTTTTACCCATGCACTACAATACACATTTGCATCTGGAGATTGTGTAAAACCCCCAAAACATTAAAGCATAGGGCAAAAATTAAATTGAAAACAATTTACATGAACATTTCCCCACGTTTTATCACTTTAAACATTCTGCAAGTACAAAAAGCTAAGTGTTGACGGGCAAGAAACATAGTGTGCTCCTACATTTCTCTGATATAACACAATTCCTAAGCACGTCAGCCCTGCCTACTTTATTTCTGATGGATTAGAAAGTACATACACATTTACTCCTCTCCCCTCCTCACATCTATAACTCCTCCTTGTGCATAGGCAGAGAGCACAGAAGTTACCAGCTTCCAAAATTTCTAGCACAAATCAACAGGTATTATGTTGCAATTATCGAACAGATTTAACAATCTACTTTCAATGGTATATTTAGCAGACCAAAAAGGGAGCAAAACAGACTTTTATTGTTGGGGCTGGAGGGTCCAGAGGAATGAGAATAGGGGAGTAGACAGGTGGGGAGAGCGAGAGGATTAGTGGGGAATGGCAAATAAGGCTATAGCTTCCATGAAAAGTCAATCTAGTAGAAATATATTTTCCAATAAGTCTTGTGTTTGTGTTGTAGTTAAGAGTAAAACACATTTTCTGCACTGCGCCTTTTAGGGCTAGGCCTTTTGGTTAAGTCCAGGGCAATTTTTTTTGCTAAGGGGCCCCAGAGCCTAGCCAGTGCATAATTGCATAGCCACTTATTTATTTATTTTTCTACCCACTGTTTTGTCACCTTTCACTTTTGTATGTGTTTTTTTTCTCACTAGGATGGAGAGTGTGGGTCCTCGGGCCTGCCCTGAAGTCTAGGTGAAGGATGCGTGGCCATTAGGTTCCTTCCTCCCCTGTTCCTGAAGGAGGGGGGGGGGAGAAGAGCTCCCTAACCAAGTATTTAGTGGTCGGCTTTGGCTAGCCACAAGGAAAGGGGTCCGCCAGGCCTTTTGGCTAGGCAGACCATGTGGAAAACTTTGTCCCAGTCAGGAGCCTTGTGCCCCAGGGTATCATGGTAGAGGTCCTACCCCTTCGGTGGGTTGAACTGAAGCACACCCCTAAGTGTACTTTTTATGCTTGTGTTTTGCAATTGCACGTTTTTTTGTTCACTTACGGGTTTTTGTTTTTCGCACCTCCGCGGACTTAAAGAAAAAAAAAAGTAGTTTAAAAACAGCAGGAGTTTGGAAACAGCCAACTATCTTTGGTTGGTACTTGTGTTTGAATTTAAGTAAATCTATTTTTAAATGTCTGGTTTAGTTTAGTGCAGTACTTGTTTGGCATTTGTTTTTCGTGGTGCTTTTTGGAAGCTGGGATGCTGTCCCATTTGTATGCAGATTTCCAACCTATGTGATGACATTGCTTGTCTAAATTCACTGGTTAGTGCCCAGCAGTCTGAGATCTAAGTCAATTTGTTCTGTTGAGCTGCCCTACAAAAAGCCACCTCTTCCTCAAAGACTGCACAGGAGAAGGGCAGTGTGGACAACTGTTGGGTAAGGAAGGGAGAGGCCTGTGGACCATAAACATGTAGCTTTTGGTGCGACACTGCATAACTCCTATAGTGTTCTTTCTGAGCTAGAAGCAGATACAATGGTTGCAAACATAGCTGACATAGGAAAAAAAAAACTGCTGTGCCAAAAGTAACGGTTTTATCTGAGGTTCCATTCCAAATTGCCAAAAAGGAGAAGACATCTTCTTGTTGGTGATTAAATTGTAAGAGGTGTTTCTTTAGGAAATCATGTGGAAGTGCCTAAGGAAGTTAGAGGTTTATCTGATGCTACTGTTAGGAGAGATAGAAGGCGTATTTTAAAAATTGTCAAAAATGCAAGTGAAGAGTGCAATGTTGATGTTGTCATGCACCTTGGCACACATGATTTGTCCCAGAATGAAGTGTGTTCTATACAGAAGGATTTTCAGTATTTGGGACAGAATCTTCAACAATTAGAATGTACGGTTACATTTTCGGAAGTCTTACCTGTGCATATTGGACAATAGAAAAGTACTTCATATAGTAGAGTTCAATGTTTGGCTAAAGGATTGGTGCAAACCTGAAGGTTTTAGTTATGTTAGCAATGATGCTATCAGGTGGTTTGATATTGAGCTGCACAAAAGATGGTCTGCATCCCTCACACAAGGGCGCTGAGCGTCTTCGTATGGAATTTAGGAGGTTTTTTTTTTTTTTTTTTTATATGCATTTAAACTGATAAATGGGGGTAGATATGTAATTGTTGAGGAGCATTTCTGTTCCCAGCAGGTTGAAACAAATGTGAGTGTTGCCAAGGACTGGGCTGATGGGGTGGTCACTTCAGATAAGGTTTCTGGTGATAACAATAAAGTAGTAGATAGCAGTGCTTGTCATGTCCTGTGCACTAATGCTGGTAGTTTAGGCAACAGGCTTTGTGAGCCGACAGCTCTTATGTCTAGGGACAACATAGACCTTGTTGCAATTAAAGAGACGTGGTTCAAGGATTCAAATGACTGGGAAATAACTATACCAAGGTATACACCATACAGGAAAAACCGTAGGGAAGAGAAGAGGCGGAGTTGCCATAGATGCCAAAAATAGCATAAGGCTATCATTAATTTGAAAAACAAATGAAATACTGGAAACCCTATGGGTTTGCCTTTCAACCAGAGTGGGATTATGATAACTTGTTGATTGATGAGATAACTCAAATTATGGTGACTTTAACATGCCTAACATTAACTGGAATTCTCAAACTGATATTACAAGTAGAAGCAGGGATGTAATGGTAATATACAAAGAAATGCAGCACAATATTATAAAATATATATTAATATGCATAAATCTTGCTCTGTGACAATAATTAAATACCATATAAGTGCATATTCTGTGCTAAAAACGTATTGCTTTATATACAACACAATAACAAACACTTCCTCATATTACCATGCGTTATCTGAATTCTATCCACTGTGTTTATCTAATAATAATGTCCCCAACATAAATCTTGGTGAACCGTCCCTTTAAGGCTCAGTGCTCCAAGTGCTAATGTGCAATTTCTTCTCTGTATATATTCATCCAGTGATATCGTGTGACCCCCAGTGTTGGATCCATCTCCGACACACTTATGCACTCACTCGTGGTTTGACCCGAACCGTCAGGTCAAACCGCGCCTTTCCCTTGAACCCGGGCGGGTATACTGGTGTATCAATCTCCAACTCTTCTTGCACCTCCAAAACGCACCACTTGGACATTGACCCAAACTGCCAGGTCAAAAGCACGCCTTTTCCTTTAACCCAGGCGGGTTTGCTGGTATATATATCCAACTCCTCCTGCTCCTCCAAACTCCAAAACGCACCACAGAAAATTGAAAAAATGCTCCAGATTATGAAGCATATCAAATCATTGCAAACTTTATTAAAACTCTTAAAATCTCCCACATTTGTGTCCTTCTGGGACACTACAGGATCAATATCTTTTTGTATAGTAATTTTGTGAATGAAACTGCATTGGATCCTCTATCCAAGATGGCAGTACGTACACTTCTGGTTATGGCATGAAGTCATCGGCGTGCCCTACGTGTTATGTCATGTGACTTCATCAGGAGCTTGAGCACAGAATATGCACTTATATGGTATTTAATTATTGTCACAGAGCAAGATTTATTTATTTATTTATAATATTGCGCTGCATTTTTTTCTATATTAGTAATTGTATGTGGGAAAAAACTGTATATGTTAGCTGCAATATTTTACTTTATTTTATTATACGTATTTGGATAGGCATATTGAGCTGTAAGTTTTCCCATTATAGGGATGTAATGGAAGCACTGAACGGGCACTGTGTAAAACAGTAAAAAGTCCATCCCAAGGTGATCATATTCCAGACCTAGTAATGACAAATGGGGATCGGCTGTCTAATGTTGAGGTGGGAGAAAATGTTGGTTCTAGTGATCACCAATGTCTTTGGTTTGATAATAAAATAAGAACTGAAAAATCATACAAAAACAAAAAGTTTTATATTTCAAAAAGACTAATTTTGCTGAAATAGGTGAATTTCTAAATAATTAGCTGAAAGGTTGGAGTAAAACAGGAGTAAGTAATCAGTGGGCACTGTTAAAGTCTACCATCCTGGAGGCAACTAGATTACATGTCAGGCAAGTTAGTAAGAATAAACAGAAGAAAAAAACCCCAATATGGTTGACTAAAGAGATAAGCAGGAAAGTAAACGGAAAAAAAAAATCAGCATATAGGAGATTCAAGGAAACCGGAGGTGTAGCTGACAGAGAAGAGTATAAGAATAGACAAAAAGGAGGCCAAAACACATCAGTGTTGCCAAATCACAGAAAGAGGAAGAAATTGCTAAATCTTCTAAGAAAGGAGATAATACATTTAAGTACATTAATGATAGAAATAATATGATGGGATCACTAAAATGAAAATTGGGTACAGCACTTAAGTTAAGGGAGACCTGGATGCAGCAAACCACTTAAACAACAACTTTTGTTCAGTCTTTTCAGAAATAAATTATACGAACAATAATAAGTTGGGAAAACATATTGGTTCTAGTAAGGACAGTCCATTTTTTAGGATTTCCAGGGACAGAGATAGCAGAAGAACTGGCTCGGTTAAAGATTAATAAAGCAATGGGCCCTGATGGTATTCATCCCAGAGTTCTACAAGAGGTATGGTTGATGGACAAATAAATGATCTTTTTTATCAATCTCTTCTAATAGGAGAAGTTCCCCATGACTGGTGAACAGCTAATATTGTACCTATCCACAAGAAGGGCAGCAAGGTAGAAGCTGGCAATTACAGGCCAGTGAGTCTAACACCGGTTGTAGTCAAGTTAACAGAATCACTCCTGAAAAAAAGGATCATTGATCACTTAAAAACATACAACTTGCTGGATCCAAAGCAGCATGGCTTTACTGAAGACAGATCATGTAAAACTAATCGGATTAGATTTTTTGACTATATTACCAATGTTTTGGACCAGGGTGGTGCTGTGGACATAGTGTATCTTGATTTCAGCAAGGCATTTGATACAGTTCCACATAATGATCGACTACAAAAGTTGTACAAGCTAGGAGTTAGCCCTTGGGTGGTTCAGGGAATATGCAGCTAGCTAAACGATAGATACCAGAGTGTGGTTGTAAATGGGGTTCAATTGGAAAAGAGACCAGTCACTAGAGGTGTACTACAAGTCTGTTCTAGGTCCTGTTCTATTTAATCTATATGCAAGTGATATAACTAAAGGTTTGTTGGGTAAGGTATGTCTTTGCTGATGACACAAAGGTGCGCAATAGAGTTGATATACCTGGAGGTGTAAGTAACATGGAACATGATTTGGCATTGCTGGAAGCTTGGTCAAAAACGTGGAAATTGCAGTTCAATGTTTCTAAATGTAAAATAATTCAGCTAGGGTAAAAGAATCCCAAGAGAGTACAATATTGGGGGTACATTGTTGGCCAGCACTTCAGAAGAAAAAGGACTTGAGGGTACTTATTTCAGATGATGATTGCAAAATGAGCAAACACTGTGGCCAGGCAGTGGGAAAAGCAAATAGAATTCTAGGAAGCATGACTAGAGGGGTCACCAGCAGGAGGAAGGAGGTCCCGATTCCCCTATATAGATCTTTAGTAAGACCTCATTTAGAATACTGTGTCCAGTTCTGGAGACCTCACTTACAAAAAGATATTGATAAGACAGAACAAGTCCTGAGATGGGTAACAAAAATGGTGACAGGTCTGTGTGATGAAACATCTCAAAAGTGACTACAGAAACTTAACATGTACAGTCCGGAAGTAAGAAGGGAAAGGGGAGACATGATTGATACCTTGAAAGGGGGTGAATGAGGTTCAGGAGGGCAGTATTTTTAACATGAAACCAAAATCAAGAACACAGGGACATGACTTTTAAACTAACTGGAGGAAAGTCCAAAACTAATCTCAGAAAGTACTCTTTTACTGAAAGAGTAATTGATGCTTGGAATAAACTTCCAGCAGAGGTAGTGAGCCAGTCAACAGTGAATAGCTTCAAACATGTTTGGAACAAGCGTATATCTCTACTCCGACAAGAAATCAAGAAAAAAATTAAAAAATGGGCAGACTCCAGACTATGGAACACTCGGCCTTTCTTTTTCTGACGTCACTTTTCTATGTTTCTATCAAGAGAACCTAGGGAAGAGGTCATGTTGCATAAAAGCCTGGGCACAGATCTTGATGATGGGGCTTAAAGTAGGGTGGGCATTCATAGATGGTGGAATATGGGATGTGGACCATGGTGAACACCCTAATGGAAAGGTGGAGGTCTGATTGTTCAATGGAAGTCTATTGCTTGTGGGGACCATGCCTGCACCAGTCTAATAATCTGACCAGATGGCAGACTATGCAGTGTTTACAAAAGTCAGGGAAATCTAAAGTGCCATGTGTTTTCAGTAAACATTGGTATTGTTTGAATTTAGGGAATTTCAAGTCCATACAAAGTCAACAAATAAAGTGTTAACTTGTGTAAAGCACAATGTAGGGATGTGTACAGATACAGATAAACTTTAATCGTATGAACTATTTACTGAAAATAAATTATTTAAGTCAGAACCCTATATTCTTGTCAGTTTACATAAAACCGTTTAGAAAACTTCAGCATTTCTTGCTACATTTACAAAATTGGAACAGGCTCAGAAATGATTAAATGCACTGCTGAAAAGCAAAAAATGAAAAGAAAGCGGTTCACCCACAAACCTGCAGAAGAGTTTTCAAAGAGTATTTTGTCCTCACCTGCTCCTGGAGTTCGGCCAGCCGCGTGGCTCGCTCTTCCTCAGAGTCAGAGCTGTCAGTCTCAGAGGAACTCTCCTCACTGGTGTGACTGCTCTCTACACTTTTACTGACCACTGGAGCAGGGGCCGGGGGTGGGGCTGGGGGCTCCACAGGCTCATCCGGCATCTTTGCAAATCTCATCTCAAAAACATCCTGTGGTAAAGAGAAGATCAGAAAGAATAAACACCAGAAATTGCAGCAATTAAGCCCAAAAAGTCTGCATAATGAAGAGTGGCATGAAGAGGGAAAGTACCACAGTACACAGTTATGGAAAAAAAAAAGCAGGGATGACTGTTCACATTTCCCTGCAAGTTGCCTTAACTGGCAATTAAAGATGAATTCCAGGCATGGCATATTTTTCTGAATGAATGCAAAGTGTTCTCCGATTGGCAGGGGAGTGATGTCATATTCTCCCAAAGATTTCTCTGAATGGTGCCCGTGTCAAGCAGCCGACCTCCTGTATTCACAATGCATCAGGCCAGCCGCACGGGACACGGAAGCAAGTGGAGATCACTTTAAGTGGAACATTAGTCTGAAAATAAAGTCCTGCTAGATCACTTCAGGCTGGCCCCTTTTGCAGGTATAGTGATGTAAAACATTAAAGATAAGTGCATACACGGTTTAAAATCCAGTAATACACCGGATCACCATGCTATGCACATGCTCAGTTGCTCACTATTTTAGGTATTTTAGGCACTGTGCCAAATTTGTAGAGGCCAATCTGCAGACAGTCTACATATTTATTGCTCGGGGCTCTGGGCTTAAGCAAAATGGCCGCCTCCAGCAGGAAGGAACAGGAACATGCAGGAGGCAATTTACAGCACACACTAAATTTTGGTAGCATAATTATTAATGTGGAATGTACTTTATGTTCCTTGCTAAAGAACATTATTTTTCTTTATCAAGTGGTTATGGGTAAAGTTCAATTTTAAGTAGTGGTGACTACCTCAGTTATTTTCCACTATCAGGGGCATCAGCCAGATATGGTATATATGTAATTAACCTGGTCCAAGCTAGACCAATGTAACTAAGTAAAAATATACCATGCCTAGAATTCTTTAACACTCCCCTCCTGGAGAGAGGTTCAAAATGACATGTGACCCAACATGACAGGGACTCCCCTAATGGCTAAAGGGCCAGCAAATAGTAGAGCCAATTTCAGCCATTTAAAAAAAAAATGGGTTGTGTCAGAATTGGCACCAAGCTTTCTGTCAGTAAACCCCTGCCATCAGTATATCCTCAAAAATTCACCTACTCCATGGGTATTCAGTTTTGTAGCTAGCAATAAGGAGAGACAGATGAGAGGGACCAGTTTTCAGTACTGTACTCAAAGATATGGAATTCACAGGCAAGTCAAAATTATCTTAAATCATACAGGACTTACCATAGACCATGGAACGTTCCCAAGCAATACATTGAGGAGTGGACAACTTAACAAAGAGACCAATAGAAAAGAAGGGTCAACAGACCCAAAACTCAGGCAACAACTTGAAGAACCTTGCAGCCAAAGCCTGCATCAGAAGAAGCCTGGACAACCATGCAGCAAAATGTTGAGAGAGTAGGAACCAGCTGAAGACCAGGTGGCAACCTTGCAAACATCCAAAACTGATGCTTAATACTGAAAACCCCAAGAAACGCCAACAGCTCTGGTGGAATTGGCATGGATAGGGATGGAAAAGCCTTTTCTTTGAGGTTGGATGCAAGCTCTGGAAATGAGCTGCTGAACCACCTGGTGGAAGAGGAATCAGTTTGTCCCTTCCTGGGACCTTCAGGGAAGACAAAGAGGAACTACGTTTTTCTGAAGAAAGACATTGCAGCTAGGTAGAATCTCCTCAATAGAGGCTACCATGAAGTCCAGAACCCTTATACAGAAGCAAAAGCAAGTCATGAGATGTCTGCTTGACCTGAGAGTCAGTGAAGCAAATTCTTCATGGAGAGGGAAAATTTCTGCCTGAGCTGTGTCCAAAATCAGCCCCAAATACTCCAAAGACTTCTTGAAGTTGAGCACCCATCAAAAGGTTTGAAGGAAATGGACTGTCCTTTGAATGCTGAAAAACAGGACTGTGGCTGAGGAAACTTTCAGCAGGTGGTCTTCCAAGTATCCACTGATCCGAGAGAAGCAATGACAGATCTTGCAGACTTCCTTAGGGCATTTGGGGACATGCAAATATAAGTTTAGGAATTGTTAGGTCCAGAATGGGCCAAACTGCTTTGGAAATGACTAGGTTTGGTTAAATCCCTTTGAATCTTTCCTCTGCAGGAACTGGGATTACCACTCCTTTGTGACAGTAATTGATTTACAGCAGCCCTAGAGTTTGCCGGTCTTTGACATAATGCTGGCAGATTGGAAGGTTAGGAATGAAGCAATGGGCATGGATTGAAATATTTCACAGCCCCTGGAAATGACAGATTGGACCCAGAGGTTCTGGATGTCTCTGTTCAATACTGGAGCAAATGTCAACAAGAGTACCAGCACTCTGGAGAGTGTGGGCACCGGTCATTGTAAAGATGGCTTCGGAAATTACTTGGAGGGCTTGGGGTCCATGGCTTGTGACAAATGGATGGACCTCCTTTTGCTTAAGAGGATGGTTGTGTGGCATGAATGAACGAGGTAGTAATAGGCTTAGGTTGCTTTTTGTGGGGTAGGTTCAGTTGACTAATCTCTTAACCACAAAATTCTGCACATACGCACAGCAGTGTCATCTTGGAGACCTGGTAAAGTACATTTTCTATGACAACACAAATTAGCAGTGCCGAGGGCATGAACTGCAATTGTTCAAGCAGAACACAGTCCTCAAACACAGGATTGTGTTCTCTATTCAGCCCTGAATGCAACAGTTTGTCAACAGGACAATGCTGGTTGTAGGGCAGCCCAAGCAAGAGCAAAAGTTGCATTCAATATGGAATTTAAGAATCTATTGATAGAATTTTAAAAGGAGCAAACATCCTTAACAGGAACAGCAAGATGCTTGTTGAGAACAGAAATAGCAGGACCATTTTTTCATGAATTCCTTTTCCATAGGATATAAATCAGCAAAGTGTTTTGGAAGAAGAAATACATTTTACACACTTGACCTGGACAATCTTCATGCAAACCACAGTTAATTTGTATGCACAAGGAAAAAGTCAAGACTTTGCCAGCCATTTTGTGCTCATAGCAGCTTGTTTAGGCCAAGGAGATTCCGGTGCTGCTAGGCAAAGACTAGCAGTATACACCCAAATCGATAAGCAAGCTCACAGTTGAAATCACATGGCATGATGCCTTTACGTGTGTCTCATAGCATGCAGGAGGTAAACCTTTCTCTCTCAACATCTTCTTCAAAAGAGATTAGGAGGTTCAGGGTCACACTGAATAGATTTAGGTGGCGGAGGGGCAGAAGAGTGCTTTTGGGCCCTGGAGACTAAAGATTGTAGAGGGCAGAACGGTTTCCAAATAAATTAGACAAAATTGCAGTGAAATCTGCCATAGTCAGATAGGCTGTCTGTTGTTGGCCTGAGAAGGAGCTAGAATTGAAGGAAGTGAGCTGTGTCAATATATGACTTTGCTCCGATGCAGGTGAACAGCTATCACATTATAGGTTTTTCTGGTTTTCCTCAGATAAACCCCATCTTACCTTATCAAAGCTGCAGGTTTTCAGAGGTGACCAAAACGTAACCAGTCATGGTGGACAGTACCCTCTAACAGGTCTTCAGGGTCTGGATGCTATAGATATGAACCATGGCTCTGGTCCTACATAGCACCTTGCAGCTAACGACACTGGAGGAACTAAGCGGCAAGGTGAGCGCCAAAAGCAGGGTGAAGTGCCTGAAGCACAGGCCGCCACTCTCCAAGTACATTTCCCAAATATACATTATGCATAACTGATCCAGAAACTCCTAGTAAGCCCTAAGGCAATATGCAGTTGAAACTTGATAGAAATGTCAATCAAAAGTAGTGAAGAAAAAAAATAAACAGTTTAGAAAATTCTCCAAAGAGAGGAGGCTCATTAACTAAGCACACTAACAACAAAACGGAGTCCCAAGAAATTGATGGTGCACTGTGGGAGTTCCCAGCAAAACTTTTGCCGCTGTTCAATTATCTGAAGGTAGCAGCATATAACCCGTGGTCTATGGCAACAAGTGTTGTGCCTGTACAATTAGGATAGCATTTTTACTGATTCTCTTTCTTTCAGTGGTATTTGATCGCCTGTGCAGTTTTAATTTTTTGCACTACAAGCAAAAAAAGACCGACAATTTTCAGAAAAAAAAAAACACACAATATTTTGGACCTTTTGCTATTAAACATGTCCAGTAAAAAATTTTTAAAATATCGTATTTCATCAAATTTAGGCCATAATTTAATCTGCTACATGACTTTGCTAAACAAAATCCCAATACGTGTAAATTAATTGGTTTAAGTGAAAGTTATAGCGTTTACAAATGGCAGTATAGATATCGGGATTTTTTTTTTATATACCAGTAATGGTGGCGATCAATGACTTTTAGCGTGACTGTGGCGGACATTATGATACTGGGGGGGAACTAATTTGGTGTCACTGACATCCCCAGTGACACCAATATAGTGATCAGTGCTTTAAAAAAAAAAAAAAAAAAAAAAAAAAAAAAAAAAGCACTGACACTGTACTAATGGCACTGGGCAGGAAGGGGTTAAGGTGAGGGGCGATCAAAGGGTTAACTATGTGCAGGGAGGGTTTTACTGGGGGGGGGGGGGGTTTACTGTAAGCACACTGATCAGAATGACTCTATCCCTAGCAGTGTGCCCAAGCTGACAGGGAGGAAGACTGTTAAAAAGAAAAAAAAAAAAAAAACCCACAGTCTTCCTCCCAGACGGTGATTGCCGGTAATCACCGGACGCCAGCGGATAATTACCGACTAGGACCCGGTGATTGACATCCGCGACCACGAATGGCGGTGCAGGTAGGGCTCGCGCATACCCCCTACCCAGAAATGCACAATCACGTGTATATATACACACACACACACACGAGATTTCGCGCACAGGTGCCACCCTGTAGCAGTATTTCTGCTACAGGGCAGTCCTTAAGTGGTTAAAGAGGATAAAAATAAAACAAACAGTTTACCTGGCTCCATGCATCTTGTTCAGCCTGCCACTATAGTGTCCAAAAATCTCATTCAACAAGATGCCTATATGCAATTTAATTTTCATATTTATTCACATGCAGCTTAGAGCTTCATTCTCTGCATGGAGAAAGGTCCAACCAAGCTAATTAAGGTAAGCATGTCAGTAACCGCGATGGGTAAAATGGGTCAAATATGGATATATTTATATACAACAGGAATACTTGACACCACGATTTAAAAAAAAAAAAAAAAAAAAAGAGAAATGAGTAATTTTTCCTTTTTTCCCATCAGAGCAGCAATTCTTGTGCTTGCAGATGTTTCAGTCATATTCGCTACTCTTACTATCTGTAAAAGGCGGAGATATGCAGTATAACATGCAGCAGTGTTGAAGTGCAGCATTCTAACTGTGTTTGCATGCTAATCACCTGCAATTTCCTGGCCATGGCGACTACTTCATGATCAGGTGGGTTATACTTGTAACAGTTTGAAAACATTAACCGTATATCAGCAGCAAAAGCCTGAGCGTCTTGATATTCCCGGGCATCCATTTTTTTCTGCAATGAGAGACAAAGTAAACACTGTGAGGTAACACCAGCTGGTAAGATAATATATCACTTATAAGTCTTGTTAATATTTTGAGCACTTTGTAAAAAGAAAACAAATATACTTCACACAGAATCCAGACCTCATGCTGCATGATCACTTGGCAGCGGTCCAACGTCCTATACTGAGTATGAGATGGAACCCTGCAATCAGCAATGTTTATACCCCCAGTTGACTGGACAGCTTTTGCTCAGACACAGCAGAGGAGAGATTGCTGTTAGCGCATACCCAGGAGGTGGGGATTCTCTGCAGCACAGTGGATTGGTGATGGGGCTCCATTTCAAAGAAGATAATTTTAAGGTGTGTATTTGCAGAGACTTCAACTACTCAGAGTCAGAGGCTTGGAAATGACTGGGGAAGGCAAACTGCAGTTTGAGGAAAACAGTCTCCATATTTTCCTATGAACAGGCTTTCAATAAGGGGATTATCAGAAAAGGATTCACAAAATTAAATCATATTGAAACCTAAAAGCAAATGTTGAATATTTTGCAGCTTACCAAAGTTAGTGAGCAAAGTTAATATCACCAAGCATTTAGAGAGTTGAGACAAACCATTTAACACTGACGGGAGGCACAGCTTTTATTCATTTATGTAAAACCTTTACCACAAAAACGGAAAATCTGTTGATGCAACTCACACTTCCATCTGGAGTCCACAAACAATAATGGTTGCTCATTCTGCACATCCTCAATTCAGAAAACCAATTGCAATATTTTCACAGAAGGCAAGGTGATTGGAGGAGGAAAGAGCGACCAGCTATCATCTGTGTGCTCCAGCCAGAAGTTGTCTCAGCAGTGGAGGTTTGGTGCTTACTGTAAGGGCTGGTTGAAAGAAGAGTTTTTCCAAACATAGCAAATGCCACACTTCATAAGTAGTAATGTATTTTTGTAGTGGATATTTTTTGCTGGAGTTGTTACTGTACTGGTACATCAGTATTATTCCCTTCCTGTCAAGCTTTCCTACACTGAACTCTTTTACACACACAATTTTGCAGGATACAGAATTAAATGTATTTTTTTCCTTTTAATAAAGAACAGATTAAGGAGTTTACGCCAAATTAAGACCCCCCCCAATTAAAGGAATTCTTTCAACCTTCTGCTGTTCAAGCCATTTCGCGTGGGGTTTTTCTGCACGTTTAATAAAAGAATTTTTACATATCTGTAAATTCCATATCTTGGAGTACAGGCGCTTGCTCTAGGCGCTTCTTTTATACCTTTAACTCACTTCATGAGTCCTCCGTTTTGGAGCAAGCAATGCAGCGTAAACCAAAGAATGACCTGTGTCCTTTACTGTTACTGTACTCCGAGATATGCAATTTATACTCCATTTATATCACATAGGAAATAATTTTGACTTAAGCTGCACACAAGTAGTATATAGGCCTAACATGATTATCTAATTCTACAGTACAGGACATAGGCAGAGGACACATCGTCAAGCAATGAACAGAAAGAAGTGCAACAATGAGGCAAACAGAACTGTTCCAACAGGCCCAAATAACAAGGGTCAGAAGACCCAACTTCAAAATATCGCTGAGAACCTTGTTGCCTAAAGCTGAAAACAGTAATTCCGTTAAAGCTTAAATTGGTATTGGCCCACAACAAAAAATGTAATCTATGTTGCAGTTTACCAATCCTTGTGGATGCTGTGTTTGTTCTGTTCTTTTGTAGACTTTCCCCCCCCCCCCCTCCGTTTTCACCTTGTGATCAAAAAAAGCTGATCATTTTAAGCACCCCTGTGAGTAGTAAATGGTTTGTCTCAACAATCTAACTGCTACATTTGAAGGAGAGCTTGATCTGTTGAAAAACAGACTTACTGGCTGGATCACAAGATCAAAATAAAAGGAAATAAAACCTGAAGAAAAAAAAAACAAAAAAATGAATACAGCCATCCCATCTAGGAACTGGTAAGCTGCAATGTAATAAATGTTTGCTTTTAGGTTTATTACTGCTTTAACCCAAAGTTTCAGTGAACGTTAAACAGTTTATTATGACCAAGCTAGTTCAAACAAAAATTTCCTTCATTAAACACATGCAGCAGTTGTGTGTACTGCATCAGCTACATACAGTATACAACTCTGTTTCAGCAGCAGGATGGGAACTTCCCATCCCAGAACAGTCAAGTTGGGCTGAGGGCAGTTTAGTCATTCACAGGAGGCTTTGTATTTTGTTAATGAATACAAGGCTTCCTCTGACTGGCTGAGGTGGAGAGGCATGCAGATGACATCACAATCTCCACCTAAGCCAGACTCAATTTTGTTCTGGGAGCAGGATGGGAAGCACAACACCACATACAGCTTATATAGCACACACAGCCACTGCATGTTTCAGTTAAGAAAATATATTGTTTGGACCTTCTTGGTCCAAAAAACTATTTAAAACTTGCTAGAACATAGAACTAGGATTTAAAGCCTGAGATTGAGAAGCAGGATGGAAGAGGGCCTTGAGATAGCAGATCTGGCGTGTTGGGAAGAGGCCAAGGGACGTGTTAGAAATCGGAATATGTCTATGGTCCAGGTTCTTCTGGAACAGTCTGGTGGAATTAGAATCACCATCTGCTCTTGCTTTATTTTCTTGAGCAGACGAGGTAAGATTTGAACTGGAGGGAAGATGCAAATTAGCATAAAGACCAGGGGATATCAAGGCATCTGAGGCTAGAGCTTGAAGGTCCTTGGTTGTGGCAGAAGAGGTAGTTTGTTGTTGAACCTTAAGGTTAGCATGTCCACATCCAGAATCCCCTATTTATTACATATTCAAAGATAAAAATAAAGGCCCATTTCCCTTTGATTGAGGAGATGGAATCAGGTATAATACACTTTCCAGTTGTCCACTCCAGGCATGTGGACTGCAATCCATGAGATGATCTGGTTTGCTTTCTTTAGGGCAGCCAGATTCCTCATGTCCCCTTGATGGCTGATGTAGGCCACTGCTATGGCATTGTCTAACTGCACATTGATTGGGTCCAGTGCTGTAGGGTGAACCTGACTGCTTAACTTTAAGATGTTGATAGGGAGCTTGGCTTTGCCCACTGACCATGTTCCTTTGACTGTTAGGGATTGGAACACCGCTCTCCAGCTTGGCAGAAGTGTGGCTTTTGGGATAACTTTCTAGTGAAAGGGAAAGAGGGACTTCCGGATGTTAGGGCTGGGTTGGTGATCCACCAAGGCAGTGAATTCCTTGCTTGGCAGGACAGGAGCATGGGCAAAATCCAGAGAAGGAGCCTAATTTTTCCAGGTTGACAAGATGTTTACTTGGAAAGTTCTTGAATGGAATTGGGCAAATGGTACTGCCTCAAAAGAGGTTACCATTAGGTATAGAAATCCCATTGAGATTTCCAACGTAGGATGTCTCTTAGATCTCGATTTTCAAGTATGTGCTCGAGTAAGAACTTTCTTTTCTGGAAGAAATATTTGCTTGGGATGTGTCCAGGACCAGACCTTAGTATTTTAAGTGAAGGGAAGGCTGGAGAGATTTACTGAAATTGATCACCTAGCTAAAGGCCTGGTGCATCTGAATTATCTCGTGGACAATTATCTGATGGCTGCAAGGGAGAGCAGTCAAAAGAAGGTGGTCTAGATAGCCTGTGGCTTGGATGCCCTAGTCTCCACCCCACCTTGTCTTAGCAGTCGGCAGAAGACAAGACGACCGAACTCCTACACCAAATCCTGCACTTTTCTGTGCAGCCATGAAGAGGCTCATCTCTGCTCCCCCCCTGCCCACCCCATCTCGGCAGCTGACAGAAGTTCTCCTACAGAGCCTGCACTTCTCTGTGCAGCTGCAGCACCCCCTTGTCTCTGCCGCCCCTGATATCAGTATTCAGGACGCTCTGGCAGCTGACTCCATCCCTTTCTTGGTCCTCCGCCACACCCTGCACATTCTGCTTCTCAGCTCTGCCCCCAGCTTCATTCCAGCAGCAGCACAAGATAAGGGGGTACACTGTGATGTGAGGGTTCATGTCATCTGATCTAAGGGGGGGCAGGTTGCTCTGTATATCTAGTACAGATACAACAGGCCCTTTGAGGGCCGCTATAATGCTGATGTGGTCCACAATAAAACTGAGCTTGACACCTGTTCTAGGGCATCCACACAATAAAGCAGAGCAGATGTTGCACAGCCTGAAATACTGAGTCGTATTGGATATTCTTTGTCCTAACTCCAATTAGCAGCAGTTTGAAATATTGAAATTGCAGCAAGAGCTGGTTGCAGGGCTGAACCTACCAAAGTAAAGAGAAACTAACCGTATCTCAAACTTTCTATCTGCAGAATCTTTGAAAAAAAATGAACATCTTCAAATGGTACAGTAAGATGCTTATTGGGGACATGGAAAACAGGATCAACCACAGGAATAGCCACTTATTTGCAAACTCTGAAACACTGTTCGAGATCAGCAAAGGTTTTGGGGGGAATGAAAATCCATTCCAGAGTAATCCAGTTACCATACACTGCACATTCTATCTGTTCATGAACGGGGAATGTTTTGCAGGTCTGACAAGGAGCATTGCGAGACACAGGAGAGTCTGGTTTGCACAGCAAGACTTTTGCAGACAGAAGCAATGAGAGCTTTTTAATGTTAGCAAGTATGTGGCTTGAAACTGTTTCCAATTTCGTGACATTCTGAGGAAGAAACTCTTCTGCAGCTTCCATCAATACTACTTCAATATCCTCTTAATCCTTTTCTCTTCAACTTTGGTTAAGAAATAGAAGCAGGAGAAGGGGAGTGGCATTTTTGGACCCTACACAAAGATAGCTATATTCAGACCTTAATCTGTCCAAAGAAATGCGACATAGATGCAGAGAATTCTGCCATAGTCAAACAGGCCACTTCTTGAGTGCCTGAAATAGAGCTAAAATTGCATGCTGAGATCAATGTAAGAGTCAGTTTTTTGCGCCAATGCGAGGGATGCATCATCAGACGGAGTTTGAGTGTTGTGAGAGCCTTCCACAGAGCAAGCAATTGCCTTCAATTTTGTATTGACTCCCTTTCGCCTGGTTTCCACCACAGCTTCACCTCAGTTAAGTGCGTCAGTAAGGAGTATGTGGCAACCAGGTGTAAACTATCCTGTAACAAACCCTCATGACGAAAGGGCAGAGGAAGCACTTGAGTAGCCTATAAGGGTTCTAGGCAAAAGTGGTAAAGTGTATAACCAGCAGTGCGGTACAACATCTGGTCATCCTCCTGAGACTAAGCTCTGGGTGGTGAAGTTTTAGAACCAACTTTACACATTAAAAAGGTAAAATCCAAACATAGCCCCATTAGCATCGTGGCCAGGTAAGGCACGGTTACCCTAAATCTCTGACCATTACTGTGAAAGACTGTATATAGCAGTGGTTGTCGACTTATGAGCTAAAGGTAGCCTCAAATGCGACCCGACATCACCAAAGGGCCACACATAAAATATTCAATATATGTAATGCTTGAGAGGATCATCAAAAATGCAGACCTAATAGAGGAAATGAGTGTCAGAGTGTGGACATGCTACATATCTGGATGGGGATATGCTACAGAAAATACAAAACTGGGAACATTTTACATGAGGCTAGTAGAAATCAATGCCATTACCCTAATCCATGTTCCCACTACAGATTGTTGAGGGCAACAGGTTGGGCACCAGCTGTATACAGGGCTAAGGCTTTGCTCACTGTGGTGGGCATACCCCTGAAGGGATCTTCAGGGACTAGGGTGCATAACAATGGACCATGGTACTGGACTTGATGTGCGGCTGATGTGTTGCACCAAGTGCCAAAGTGAGCATCCATGCAGGACCCAGTGTCTGAAGCAACATTAGAGGTTATCTCCACAGTGTGTGGGTAAGGCTCCCAAGGTTTTACGGAGGTTGTGCCAATCCAAATACACTGTTTCAACATTAGTGTTAGAAACAGTGTGGCGTGTTAGAAACAGTGTGACGTTACTGCAAAACCCAAAGATAAAAAGAAAAATAAGTTAAGTGAAGGGTGATCTTCCCTGTAAAGGAAAAAAGGTCTATCACCTTTTTCTATCAACACTAGCACAATACTGAAGACTCACAGAGTGAGGTAAGGATATAGGGTAAGCACCCAGGGGGTGTGTCCTCTAACAGCTTTGCAAATGTTCACGTCTATAACCCATGGTGTATTAATATTCTGCCTGTGTCGTTCTGTAGTATAATTATAATTTTAGGCCTAACGATTACTTGTGTGTAACTATTTCTGGCACTTTTTCACTATAACTATTTATATGACAGGCAACCAAAAGTCGCTTACGTGATATAATGTATTTGACAGGTTCTCCTTAATCAGGGGTCTATGAGAAGGAGGTGGGAGATTTTTCAGTTTAAGTCATGTTTTGACAACAAAAACTAGCAACAAGCCAACAGAGATGGGGAAAATTTACAAGAAGATAGGGTTTGCACAACATCAACAAAGTATATCTCCTGGATTATGGGAGACTCTAGGAAGGATATCTAGTCAACCTGAACTATAGCAATGATGGTTCAGTCTCAGGAATTCTGTACAACAGTCCAGGTCACAATTACCACTGCTTGGTAGGGCTTGTGTCACGATATTTACCTGGTACACACAAGAAGTGACCAGCGACCATGTGCACACAGAACACTTCATTGTATTAAACACTGCTCCACAATAAAATGAGATCTAAACGATGTCCTACTGAATAGGTCTGAGCATAGCCACTCTGTTCTGGAACTGTGGCCTGCAATCACACAACATGAGGAATAGGAAAATAAAAAGAAGGACTTATGAACACCACAACCCTAATGCTAACTTCCAGAGGTCCTTTTTTGTCAGCTTTTGACTGAACAGATGACAACATGAAATTGAACAATCCACAGAAATTTGCCACTCTGTTTCATTGATTTTCACTGGGGTAGAAGATTGAAAATAGCTTTCATATCACTATGGTGGTTTTCACCAAATTCAATTGTAGTTTTAATAGTTTATTAGTTGCAACCCATGAAACCAATTAAAACCATGAATGGCAGATTGACTCCCAAGCTATAGTTTTTTTTTCCCTTTGAATGACAGCTTTTGGAAAGACTTCAAAATGCCATGTGTGGTGCTAACATTATACTGGCCATAGACATAAGCAATGTTTAGGCAATTCATTAAAAAACCAAGAACCTAGTCAAGCAATACTATAGTAAGCAACTGGATGTTCCTTCACGCGCATTCACATTCAGGGTTTTTTCAACTGCCAAGTGGGTGACTGTAAAAATTAGTGTTTGATAGGAAAAACTCTAAATTGCGCTCAGATTTCCACTCGTATGGCTTGCTTTTAAGGTACAATTTCATTCTCCCATTAACACCACAATGAGCAAGGAACCTGACTGTTTTGGTTAAAAGCAAGAGTGGGTATATGATTCATATACCTTAACAGTACTGAGATCCATGGGATGTTTGATGATATCATGATAGTCATGCAGCTCCAAGGCCTCAGCATCAACAGGTTTGTAGAAAGGCCAAGCATATGCGGCGTGTTTCTTGGAGAGCATCTCCTTCAGGATACTGTCACAGTATTTGAGGTGCTCTGTCAATTTGCCTTTCTTTCCAGCATGCTGCGGGATTTCTCCATCCTCCAAATCCTTCTTTGGTGGCTTAATTGGGCGCCCAGTGCTCTCCCGTCTGTTGGACACTTTTGCTTGCTTGGGATCAGACATGGGGACGGGCGATTCACTGCGACTGGCGGTTATGGCAGAGGTGGTGGGAGTGGTAGTGTCTGCTTTTCTCTTCACTCCTTTTTTCTGGAAGAAAGAGAAATTAGTTGAGTTTGACTCTGATCTCAGGCATGTTTTATCCCCTATACACTGAACACTGTTGAAGGTAAACCATTTTCTCACTTGAAACCACCTTGACAAACAGCAGCTCTTTCAAACACTGTGGATCATATGGCTCTGTGTTACCAATAGTCCTAATTGTATATATTGTCTAATACACCCTTCCACTTTTTTTTTTTCCTTTATATGCTTATTATTTTCATTTTAACAAGAAAGAGAATAGAGCATTACAATAAAACCTAAACAACCATTAAAATAGTCTGTGCCCTGTGTAATGTATGCAATACATGATTTGTTGTTATAAACAATATTAAATCACCATTCCACACTCTCATAGCGATATCTATGTGTGGATAGTCCTATGCTATCAAGAGTGAATAAATCGAGGAAATAAGATGGCGACGTGGTGAAGTAAGTGAACAGAGATCTTCGAAGGGGGTATAAGATCTTTGGACTGCCTCCCATCTGGATGCGCGAGTCAAAAAAACGGAATATTTCTAATGTGTAAGTTACACTTAGAACATGGTGACTGCAACATTCCTGATACATAACATTATTTACCACAATACCCAACTGTTCCATGGAAGACTGCACACTACAACACAAAATCCCCTCACACTGCAATGAAGAGTTAATGTTCTTGATGCCAGATGGAAGTTCGCCCTTAATATAAAATACTACTTAAATATTACTCAAACTAGAAAGCAAACATCCCAAATAATAATAGCAGCCAACAATGTACAGCTACCTCTGTAATGTACAAGAAAATAGCAAAAATGTATTCAGCAATACAAATAAAAATCACTGTCCCCTTTTCTCAACCAAGACTTAGTCCTAATGCACACTAGACGTTTTTACAGCTGCTGTATTTGGCTTCTGGCATTTTTTTCAACAGCATGTAAACGCCATGCACGCAGACTGTAATCGGCGTTTTTTGGCTGGAAAAGAAAAAAAAAAAAAAAAAAAAAAAAACAGAACTAATGGGTTTCTAGAGGAGTTTTTAGCTGTAAAACCACTCCAACGCTGAAAAATGTGGCAAATCGTTATTTCTGGACTTTTTTTGAGCAAAAGAAAAAACATTTTGGCAAAAGAACGCTAAAAACCACTAAGAAACACAGACATGAAAAAATGCAACAAAACGCTAATGCGAAAACACTGAAAAACTCACGTTTTTAATGTAACTTTACACAGCTAACGTCATCAGGGTTATTAAAACGCCCTGTGTGCAGGAGCCTCAAAGTCTGCTTTTGGCAAAAAAAATACATACACACGCAAAAAAATTTGGACTTTCTACATACTTACCTGTAAAATCCATTTTTTGGGAGTACATGATATGACACAGAGAAGACTAGTCATGAATGACTATGTGGATTGTATGCCAACTATAGGTGAATTGACACTGGCAGATCAATCAAACAGGAAGTCCTCCCCTATATAACTCCTCCTACACAGGAAGTACTTCAGTTTTTGTAGCAAGCAATGAAATTCCACAATTAGGGGAGGGACCTCTGTGTCCCATGATGTGCTCCAAGAAATGGATTTTACAGGTAAGTATGTAGAAAGAAAAAACTATTTTCTTTATCGTACATCACAGGATACAGAGCAGACTATTCATGACTATGTGGAATGCCCTAATTCAGCCCTCAAAATTTTCACTAGCTTGCTCACATTTGGCGAGTGGAACTAAAGTGGGGACAAGTGTGTCCCAGAGAGCAGGGGCGGGCGGGATGAGATCATCAGTGGAGTTCCCAGCCCTGCCCCCTCCTGGGTACATCAGAGGAATTGCCGTATTCCCCAACCAGCAGGAAGCAATCAGAGCATGGCTGTGGAATGCAGCGCTGTCTCTTTGATGTACCCGCCATCAACCACTCTATCCCTCACTTTCATCTCAGTTGCTCATTGTTGTATCTAAAACAAATGGATACACTGACCCACCAATCCTGGGCCAGCTTGTGCTCAATAACCAGGGGTTTCCACTGCTCCTTCACTCCTCCCATGACTTTGGTCAAGTCGCCCTCTCACGTAGCAACACTGCCTCTTCTCCTTTATATCTGAAGCATGCAGGTTGGGGTAAAGACAAAAAAACCCACTATAGTGTAAAACCTCTGGCCATCCCCTGTAGGACATGCGCAGTCTCTGGACACCTCCTGTAGGACATGCACAGTCTCTGGACACCTCCTGTAGGACATGCACAGTCTCTGGACACCTCCTGTAGGACATGCACAGTCTCTGGACACCTCCTGTAGGACATGCACAGTCTCTGGACACCTCCTGTAGGACATGCACAGTCTCTGGACACCTCCTGTAGGACATGCACAGTCTCTGGACACCTCCTGTAGGACATGCACAGTCTCTGGACACCTCCTGTAGGACATGCACAGTCTCTGGGACACCACCTCCTGTAGGACATGCACAGTCTCTGGACACCTCCTGTAGGACATGCACAGTCTCTGATCAGATGGGACTACAGGACAACATGGAATGTCGAGATGGGACTGGAGAAGGAGGAGGATATGGGATGGAGGAGAGGTTTACATTGCTTTGTGTTAATATTGTTAACGTTGTTGTTAATATTTATTTTTGTAACTTTATTCTGCATAAAACATTTAACAATGTTATTTCATGAGAATTTTCGAGGATGTGTTTAGGAGCGGTATTAGGGGTGGGGCAGGGTAGAGGTTGGGTGGGACAACTGGTGTAGAATAACTTTTCAGGCCTGGCTAGTAGCTCAGGACTTGAAATTTTGAGCCCTGCCCTAAAGCAATACAAAAAACTGAAGTTGGTGACACAATAACAGCCACCACCATCAATCCCAAAGGTCCTACTCAGCCGTAGGAGACAAGCTGCGGCCAAAGGCACAATCTTCCACGGCTCCGACATCCACCTGGTAAAACCTTGTGAATGTATGAACCAAACACCACGTAGCAGCCTTGCAAACCTGAGCCATTGATGTCTGATGGAAGATAGCCCAAGATGCCCCCAATCTCTTGGTAAAGTGAACTCTCACCCAAAAAGGTGAGACCTTATAATTCAAATTTGAAGGACTAACTGGCAGATGCAAATGAGAAATAGTTGATCTGGATACCGCCTGTCCTTAATGAGCCCTTCTGGCAGCAAAACCAAGATTCCTGACTTGTACCACCAAACTCAAGTAACAACTGACCACCCAAACTACATTCAGAGTATACAACAATCTTTCCCCTGCAGACTGTGGACTAAGAAAAGGCAAGACACTGTCCTGATTTAAGTGAAAACTAGAAACCACTCTAGGCAAGAAGATGGATGAGGATGTAACATCACCTTATGGTGTAAGACCAGGATCGGCTCCTTACATAAAAGAGCCACCAGCTCTGACACTCTTCCTACTGAAGTGATAGTAATCAAAGAAGCCAACTTCCGAGTCAAAAGATTATGCTTCTCTAATTAGTTCAAAAGGTGGCTTCTGCAAGGTCAGTGGAGACCAAGTTCAAGTCCCAAGGAAACAAAGGTGGCCTGAGAGATGGGACCGTCTACGTTACACCCTGCACAAAGTACGAATCAAGGAGTGAGAAACAGTCTCTGGGGAAAAAATGGATAGAGCCAAAACCCGACCCTTAAAAATGGTACTTAATGCAGAGTTCCACTGAAAAGTGGAAGCTTCGCTTGTTTGCCTCCTTCCCCCCTCCACTGTCATATTTGGCACTTTGTTTTTTGCATGCGCAGTGGGAACCCGCCTGTGAAGCTGCAAGCAGTCACAGCCTGGTGCCCACAGTGGAGATGCCGGCACTGGGGAGAGAAGGGACGGTGCAGGTGAGCACGTAGATGGACCCTGGGACAGGCGAATGTGAGTTTATTAAAAGTTAGCAGCTACAGTTCTTTTAGCTGTTGACTTTTAATAAACTCAAGAATGAGTGGAACTCTGCCTTAAAGTCAGTCAATTTCATTTCATCTCCCAATTTGAAAAGGACAAAAACCTTTCACAAGGGACAAAAACACATTTCCGCAGGTGTCAACTCCTGGCTTCACGCCAGGCAAATAAGATTTCCAGGTCCTGTAATGGAAGCTCCTTGAAGCCTGGCTTCCTGGCGCTCAACAGTGCAGAGAAAACAGGACCCAAGAACCCCCCCCCCGATCTTTTCAGACCTGGGCTTCAATAGCCAAGCCTTCAATCCAAGCGATCGTAAAGCAGGATACATTATTGGACTCAAGACTATAGGTCTGGGTGGACGAAGTATCCAAGAAGCATCTCCTGCACTATATACTATGTCGGTGTACCAAGTCCTCCTGGGCTAGGCCAGGCTACTACAGTTAATAGTTGAATCGGGGGAAGGCATTAATTAGGGGGAGCTGGTCCATAAGGTGTTACCAGTGCATCTACCTCTATTGCCAGTGGGAGTCTCATCCTGGACACAACCTAACTTGTTGTAGAACCAGGAAGTCAGTAGATCCACATCCAGAGTTCCAACTCTGGCAGATTGTTGAGAAAACGTCTCGGGATGCAGGGACCACTCTCCTGGTATCAGCTGCTGATCTCTGGGGGATAAAAAAAAAAAAAAAAAACCTGCCAGTTTTCTATACCTGGAATATGTATTGCCGACAGATGGCACATTCTGTCCTGCCCCAGACAGAATGTGATTCACATTTACTGAACCGCACGACTGGTGGTTGATATACACCACTGCTGTGGCATTGTCGGACTGAACCCTGACCACAAACATCTGCAACTGGTTCATCCAATAATCCAGAGCAAGATTTTGAGAGGCAGTATTCTCTCCTGTGGTGACCAAGTCCCCTGAACTGTAGCCATCTTCAAACTAGCCCCCCCAACTGGAGAGACTGGCTTCGGTGGTTACCATCTTCCATATCACTGGAAGGAAAATTACCCCTTCTCTAGATTCTGAAAAGCCAAACACAAATTCGGACTGTGCAATATCCCGGGGACAAAGCCTATCAGCAATCCAATGCTTGGACCTTCATGATCCAGACAGACCGCATGTTCATCTACAAAAGACCTGGAGTGGAACAGCACGTAGGAAACCACTTCAACGTAAATACCATTTCCTCATGCAGAGACATATTGACCGATACCTTTTGCATCTGATATTTTGCTTTAAACTTGGAACCGACTGCTTCTGAGCAAAGGATCATTGCGGTATCCTGAGATTGACAGCCCCTTGTGTCCTCAACAAGCCCAGTACCAGGGCTAGGAGCTTTGTAAAAGGCAGTGCCCCAAAACAAAAAATTGTGTTTGTTTGCTGCAAATTGCAGAAACCCTTGATGAGCCTGAAAAAATTGGCACACAAAAATATGCTTCATTGTGGACCACGGACACCCGAAATTTATCTCTTGCAGATAGGCCACAACTGATCAGACCAATCCCATCTGAAACAGAAGGAAGTCTAGACTTACATCTAGTGCCTTGAGATCTATAACAGAGCTCGCATCCTCGCTTGTAAACCTAAAGAGTGTCTAGAATCACCTCAGACTACCCTTGCATTCAGCCCGAGTTACCCTGGAGAGGAAAAGCTTACAGCACCTGGTATTCCCAGGTAGTCTTCCCTCCAAGTACTAACCAGGACTGACCCTACTTAGCTTCCAAGTTCAGACTAGATGAGGCACATTCAGGGTGATGCGGCCGCGGTCCATTGCAATTCCAAGCACCAGGAAAAGCTGCAATACTTAAACTCAGTTAGGTTAGGTCAGTGGCCCAGATACACCTGATACAACTGGGCTATTTTGAAATGTGAACACTGCCATATTATTCCACCGAGTCTACTGGACCTGAGGGCGGTACACCTGCCTCTCAGCTACCTCCCCCTTCTGGGACCTTTTAAGTCAATAACGTAGCAACTATATTGCCACCTAACTATGCAGTAATACAGGAATGCAGGTCCAAAGCCATTTTCATTTCGTTTCGTTTGGTGTATCAGAAACAGTTGTAGAAGGCCCCAGGGATTATATAGGCTAATGCAATGTATAATCATCTGCTGTCTGGTCATGCAGCTCCCACAAAGGTAATACTCACGCATCGTCATTCAGCCACAGACTGCTCTGCGTCCCTGCCATCTCTCAGGAGCCTCACTAATCCATCAGCCCACCCATGACTTCAAACATAAGCCAAAATGGCCATCCCTCTACATCCTGCCTCTACTGCACAAGAGCAGATTATCGAGAGCTGCCCCGTGTCCCCTAGAGGATGGATGAAAAACTGCAGCTCAATACTCCTTCAGAGATACAGAGCATGGCCTGGCCAGACCAAACAGCACACCCAGTGGCCACCGAGTGAATGAACAGTCAGATTTTCAAAGAAACACTGCAAATACAAATTTAACATTCCCACCGCAGGACTCTGAATCATAATAGGAGTCCAACCTTCACCCATCACGGCGGGCTCGGTCATAAAAGACCTTCAAGGACTCGGTCCCCCTTACATCTAGGATCCACCCCCTTGGACTTGTATAGCACCCTGCTGGAAAGCAACTTGGTCAGAACAAACACTGCCTAGGGTACCAGTAAATAGGGTCCAGCACCGTAAGGCTGCAATACCAGCGAACCTGGAGGATTCTTCTCTCCTATCCAAAGAGGCTTGGGTACCATCCATTGTGGCTAAAGGCTTTTCAAATGCATTCGACTTAAGTACTTAATTCTTAGCAGAACTGTTCCAGACCTCAAAGTATGCTCCCAGAGCACATCAGACACCATCCACCTTACAAACAATGGCAAAAAAAAAAAAAAAAAAAGAAAAAGGAAGTACTTCCTGTGTAGGAGTGGTTATACATAGATGAGGACTTCCTGTTTGACTGATCTGCCAGTGTCCATTCACCTATAGGTGGCAGAAAACCCGCATAGTCATGAATAACCTGCTCTGTCCCGTAATGTATGATACAGAAAACAAAATGTGCAATTTTTTTTTCTTTTTGCATACAAGCCTGCAAAGCATTGCAACTGAAATCAGATGATCATGGGTGCAATGCACAGGCTCCTGCAGACTTTTCCTCCAGCTCTATGTTCCTACCAAAGTACGGACCTTTGGATACATAGCTGTAGAAAGTGGACTACAAGTGCGGTAATCATCGCACTTGTGTTCCACCGATAACCAGGCCCTCTTCCACAGTCATATCTGAATGAATTAGGTGGCTGTGCTGTGGAGACACACACAGCTGCACAATTTAAAAAGTGACAAACTGCCACAGCAAGGTACCAAGGGATATGTAGTCCTTAGAAATGGAAAGTATACCTAAGGAAAGAGCAGAGGACAAGCTGCACAATATGCAGGAAATCCTTGAAGTTGAAAAATGGCCAGAAGACAGGCAGCAGTCACAACATGAAAGAGGATTTTTCAAGGAAGCTTATATTGACTTGTCAAAAATAACTATTGTGTGTATTATTACAACGCTGATGTCATAAATTGAAAACGAATGCTGTGACTACATAACTCTTTAAAGTAGATCTCTGGGCAAAATCTTTAATTTTTTTGTTTTTAATACTGGTTGTACTCTACCTTTCTCAGAGTGGTTAGAGGTTAGACTCGCTGCCAAATATTTATTGCAGTCTGTGTCCTGATATTCACCCCTTTATTTGTTCTGCTGACTACTGTCACCAAGGAAGAAAAGTGAGGAAAAAAATTTAAATTTTAGACTTTGGAAACAAGTGTAAAGATAAAATGTTCCAATGGGGACACTTTTTTTTTCCAGGACACTGCTCTAAGAGGCGAATTCCCTCATGCTGGGAGATTTCCTATAACCTCCAGTTGCATCTTCGTGTACCCTCTCATCAACACCTACTATTCAAAACTACATATAAAACAAAGTTGACTAAAAACATACACTTTATCGTAATCCGATAGGTTAAGCCTGACTATAAACAGCATTCTTGATTTCAAGGCAGCACCCCCAACTACTGGCAGCTGTGTCACCTCTTTATAATTGTAGTGCGTGCTGATTTCAGATTGTCATCAAGGATCCTGCTATCCAACGACCCACAACATCTGTCCTGTTGATAACAGCATGCATATATACAATGTCAAGGGAGGTGCACATATTTTTGGAATTCAGTCTTAACCTGTGGCATAAGTACCTCTGACCTAAAACCAGTACTGGAGGCTGCTGAATACAGTGCAGCCCTGGTAAAACTGTTGTCTTGTTTGTTGACAGGCTGGCTCTCCTCAACAATGAGAATTCAGAAAGCAAACAAAAAAAAAAAAAAAAAAAAAAAAACGCAACGTTCATAAGCAAAACAATTGTGTGTGAACTCAGACTTAAGGAAACAACCCAATCTATAGTCCAATAAAACTAATGGGAATAGCTATAGTGGCTCCAGATCAAGCAGAGAAAACCACAGCTGAAAGATGCGGAAAAAATCAGAAAGGAACAAACTTCAAATCATGAAGAGGATCTGTGTCTAAGGATACAGGATTCTGGGGCATAAGAAGCCAGTACTGGACAAAAGCAGCAATCACAATTTAGTCATTTCTATTTTTATATTACCTTAACAACAGGGGCTGCTGGTGGGACTACTGATGCTACTGGAACAGGAGCGGCTGCAGAAGGCTGTGGTGCTGTAGTGGCAGCTGGAGGGTTGACATTAGCCGTTATAGTTGGCACAGGAGTGGCAGCGATCACTGGAGTCTGAGAAACTACAGGGGCAATATTTGTTAGCTGAACTGTTGGGCTCACGGTGGAGACTGAGGAGGCTTGCGCAGCAGCTATAAATAAAATATTTAAAATGTCATTCTTTTGTACAAACATTTTGTAAACAGTAATGACACTTCTACCAAGTAAATAATTACAGTTTGTGCCAACTACTCTCAGCTTCTTCACAAGTTTGTGGAATAATGTATGCAGAGGAATCAATAACATTAATGAAATGTAGATTTAGATTTACACAAAATAAACAAACCATTAGAGAAAGATATTTAAAACATGATAAACAGTGTAAGAAGTTACTTTACAAATACATCTGGCATCCTGTATATATCAATTATCATTTGGGAATAATCATGCAGGTTCTGCGATTGTTGTTATAAAGTCTTCCATACAATGTTGTTATTTCTTTGTTCTATATTTTAGGGGTTTTTTTTTTTCCACAGAAATTATGCCATTAAACAAGTGTCTTCCTCCATATTATTGCACAAAACTGATTGCATTCAGAATTAACTGGTTAGGTGACCTTTGTAACGTTCCCGTCGCCTTTCCACTGGTGGATCTGCTCGTCTTCCGGAACTGCGCTCCACCACAGTAGGTTTGGGAGAGCTGCGCTCCACTACGACTGGTTTGGGAGATGGAGGTTTTTTCTCAACAGGTTTTTCTGGTTCTGTGATTACTGAAGGAAAAAAAAAAAAAAAGTGATCATGTTAAAAAGGGACACAGGCTGTCACTGAATGGCACATAAAAAAAAAAAAACCCCACAAACCACAATACAAATGTATTTTTTTAGTTTTTGAGAGAGTGGAGAAGGATTTGAGGCCCTGTCAGATTTTTATTCCATCTTTTTTCACCAGTTCAGCATTATCACCGTGAAAGGGGAAAAAAAAAAAAAAAAAAAAAAAAAAATCACAAACTTTGGGTTGACACCAGAAGAGGAATATAGGGGAAATTTTCCAATGTCAATATCAGTTCTAGTGAAAACAAGTTATTCCCTAATTTTGGAAGCATGTACCTTCACTTCCTGTCCCATAGCCAAAACAGGAAGTGAAGAGAAATCTCCCAAATGGGAGACAGAGGTTATAACCCTCCCTTAGTTTTAAAAGGAAAAAAAAATTAAAGGTTTTGCCTTTGCTTCTATTTAATAAGGTTCTCTGAGACAGACACTTCTACAAGTTACTTAGAATAGGGCTATTAGGTGATTAATGCCTAGATAACACTGGTGACTAGGAGATCAGACGTAGGAGTGATGTGACCATAAACTGCCACGACCAATCATTTCTTCATTCACTCAAGACAACACACAAATTACCTGTTATAGCTTAGTGTGAAAGGAGTTCAGGACATTTAGATGTGCAAGATGTATATCTAGTTGACTTTAAAAGCACAATTTGCAATGCCTGCCTTACATAACTATACATGAAAAGGGCAAGAAAATAAAATTGATCACATTTGAACTTAAAGGGTATATTTGGTCAAAATGTAAAATCTCATTCATTTCTGCATTGTATTTCATTTCTATTTAACCTATTCCTATCATTTTGGACATCTTGAAGTTAGAAAACAAAGTGTTACTAAACCCAGGACCCTGCAATCACTATATACAGTTTCCCACAGTATATAGAAATTATTTTATTAAATATAAACTGTTAAATACCTTTTCTCATCAGCAGTATATAGCAGTCTTGCAACTTCTATCAGTGTCCAACAGAGCACTGGTTAAAGCTTGTAGGAGGAGTTTTCATTCTCCCGATTGTCCTATGTGGCTGCAAAACCCCTGACCATCTGTCTGGACAGTGCTGATTGGCCCTCTGGTGATCACATGCACTCCTCTCCCAAGGGAAAAAAAAAAACACAAAAAAAACTCTCTAGCAATACACACCAAACTGAGTATGTGCAGCTTGCCCCCAAGGCTCTGTTCTATCAGCAGATGGACTGGGGGCAGTAGAAGAGGGGGAGGATCAGAGAAGACAGGATCAAACAGCCTTTTTACACAGTGCAGAGGATTAACCCCTTAGGTTCCACAGTGAGTATAACAAGCATGCTTTACTGCATATACAGACTGATTTTACTGTTGTGGGTTTAGTAACACTTTAAAACTTACTTCATGCAGATCCCCACACATTTACTTTCTTGAACTGACATGTATTTACTATGGCCTTTGAGTAGGGTGCTGCTGTGTCAACCTGCATTCTGAACTATAAGCTGCTGAGAGGTGGAGTTTCAGGAGACAGAATCAATGCTTGCAAGCAGAAGCAGCAAGGTACCATGCAATATGTACTACTTAGAAATCAAATGTAAACCAAAGGAATAAGCAGTGGAAAAGCAGCAAAGCATGCAGAGAGTCCAGGAATTTGTGTAAAGAGATGCAGCAATCACAACAAGAAAGAAGATTGTTCAGGTAAGCCAGACTGCCAAAAAAAACGATCACGTGTACTGACACTGCAATGCTGATGTTATAAAATGAAAGCGTATGCTGTAACTATAGATCCCTTTTAAAAACGTTAAACCCCTAACAGTCCAGGACAAAAAAAGAAAAAGGTGTCAGAATTCCACATTGGGTAGTTATTTTTAGAATGCCATCATAGAATTAGGGATATAAGGTGGTTGGCACTCAACCAAGTATAGTTGGACATGCACATTGCATACTTTTGGGTCACAGCTTATAAATGGACAGTACGGTTTAATTTTGAAAATAGGACTATTATGATTTTTATTGTGACATGGTGGCACTGATGTATGGTTTTCAGTAAGGGGATTATGTTTACTGAATATATATTAGTTTTGCAACACTGGTGAGTGCTGCACTTAATTTTTTGTTTGGAACAGCCATACTTGTTTTGTTCTCAGCAAAAGTGAAGTTACTCTTTAGGTGGCCTATATTGTATCAAGTCTCTACCATGTGACAAAAATGCCAAAGCATCAGCCATTTGATCTGAACCAAAGGGGACAGGGCAGACATGTCGACAGAATCGACTAATCTAAGGTTCTGCCTAAACAACAATCCTCCCCTTTAGCTGAAAGCACCAGACTAGTGCCTTGGCATTAGGTGACCACCACTAGAGGGAACTTGCTTGTGGGAGTGCAGATAATTACAATATACAGTATGTGTGTGAATATAGGTTAATTTATACACAAGTTAGCAAAAAAAAAAAAAAAAAAAAAAAATTTCCCTGATCTCATTTGTAAATAAATGTCACATATTACATAATAGTGTCCATTTAACAAAACATTGATTAATCCAGAGAATACCAAACTCAAAAGTAGTGATGAACATTATAGAACATAAAGAAGAGAATGCATTACCCACTGTAACCAGTCATGTACTTCTTTGGCTAAACCTGCACCAGAAAAATAATAGATGCCATTGGACTTTTAGTTAAAGCGGTAGTAAACTCCGCTGTGAAATTTTTATTTATGAGACCTCCAGGTGGGTTATGCCATAATGTGCTAGTATGCATGGCATATTAGTACATTATGGTAGACTTGCCTGTCAAACGGTGCTTTCCAGCGCCGCGGTGGGATCGATCTGGAGAGCCTCCGGTCTACCTCCCGGGTCCTGTGCCTTCGGCCTTGAGATAGGCCAGACCGCGATGATGTCACTCCCATAAATGTGCAAAGGAGTCACATCGTCATGGCACGGATCGGGGGCCGTAAATGTTTGCTGAGCTTTAGTTCCAATTTAAAGTTGTAAGACTTTTTTTTCATGCTAGTAATTTTGGGTGCTGGATGATGCGGAAACGACAATACAGATCCTGCAAATTCTGGACAAGAGATTGCCAGCGTCAAACAGAAACCATCAGAACACATAGAAGCAGATGCTGTAAAGCCTTGACTTCCCATTTGTTTTAACAATGTACTAGCGCTGCTAGTGGCTGTCTAGTAAACAATTCATTATGGTGGTTTAAATTTCGTTTAAAATCATCATAATAAATTGTGAGAACACAGAGAACACCTGTTGCATAGACATGAAACATTCTATCAAATTTAAAACGTTGGCCAACAGTTCAGTCACATTACATCCTTAAGGCCTTGTTCACACTATACATGCAGAAAAACTGATGGAAAATGACCTGCAGATTTCACTTGCAGGGACATCAGTTAACATCAGTTTTTAAGTGTGCTTCAATGGAGTTTTATAAACGTTGCAGATACCTGCACAGAAAAGTATCTGCACGTGATACTAGTGTTGTGGTGTGAACAGGACACATAGAACAGTTCATTTCGTTGAGCCCTTGCAGAACACGAGCAAAAAAAAAAAATGGACATCTCTTCACACTGGTGTGAATGAGGCCTAAAGGCTAAGTTCACCTTTTCCAGAAAATATCCTATGCAGTCAAGGGACCCTAGTAGATATTAAAATTAGATATTAATCTCTGCAGCTTTTGTAAAATTATAATTTTATTGTGTTATCTGTAGGCTATTTAGGTCCCCTCAGTAGCCTGGCTAATAAACTTCTAGTTAGAAACCCCCAAGTCCTGACTTGTTGCTAGACATGAAAAGCGATGGATGCATACTTCTAGTAGTGCAGACTTGAAAACCAACGGTTTTCATGTCCTAACAAGTCAGAACATCAGCGTTTATTACCCAGGCTTCTGAGGGGAACCTACAGATAAAACCATAAAAATTAAAAATGTTGCAAAGCTGCACAGATGTTTACTACCTACTGAGGCCCCTTGACAGCATAAAATATTTTCTGGAAAAAAGGTGAAATTAGCTTTTCAATAAGACACATGCCTTTTTCCTAGATGGATCTCAGCAGGTGCAGGAAGCTAGGTAATAGGCAAGATCACCAATTGATGGCAAGGTCCTATGGTTTTGCTTCTATGGGGAAATTACCTGGCGTTTGTGCTGTTGGTGGTGTTGGCTTCTTCCCTTTGCCTTTTGGAGCTGGGGGCAATAATTCCACCTCCTCCTGGGGCATCTGTGCCACTTTTTGCAGGAATATCTTCTCCAAGGCTTGGGCCATTAACACGATGTCGTCTGTGGACTGAGAAAGATCAGACGGTTATATCCAATTATCAATCTGTAACAGAGATCCTCATTAAGCGATGCTGGTGTAACCCATAGTAACCATATCTCTTCTTTATAGGTGCTAGCTGTATAACAGCTACAATGTGAATGACTGCTATTGCCAACACAATTTTCCTTCATAAAACGGTCACATGGAGGTTTTTGAGCTCAGTATATGCTGTAACCTTGAACTTAAATTTGTAAATTATTTGGTGTTTAATGTAAATAGTGAAGCTAAAAACAGAAAAAGTTTAGTGAATTTCTAGAAGCTTTTCTATATCACACAGAATTGACTCCGGTTTGAAAGGTGCTTAAAAAAGTGGACAGATTTTTTTTGCTGCGTTGGGTAGACTGTGGATGGGTTAGAACCTGGCTGGTCTTTATTGCAGTGTGCCCCTTTTAGGGGGGGGGGGTTCCAACTCATTTCCACTGTGGTCACGGGCCTAAAATCAGAGTAAATCTAACCAATAATAAGGAGGTTCTAACCCCTCTCCACTCAATTCAAAAACTTAAGGCTCAACTCCAGGATGCAAAGAAAAATTCTGACTAGAATAACCCCTTCCCTCCCAGGCCTGCAAAATCCAAAGAATTGGGAGCATGGTGAAGTAATGTGAGTGGCTATAGACAGTATATATGACAGCACTAACAGAAATGTCCACACTGAATGCACACTGTATGATAACAACATGACCTGTAGTCAGGACTACACTGAGTGTGTCCATGATTGCCTGGACACCAAACAAAGAGGTTAGTGAGGAAAGGGTAAGTTCTGCGGTGAAATCCACTATTCTGTTACCTGCAGGGTTTACGGAATGAAAACTTTTCGAAGGAGCTGAAATTGGAACTGGGATTTGAAAAAAAAAAAAAAAAGTATTCAACCCTCTATATTTATTACTGTAATGCAGTGAGGCTCTATGACAGTAAACAACAAGCTCTAATATATTTGTTTTTTCAGCTGACAAATGTGGGATTAATGCTAGTCACAATATTGAGATTCTATAGTTTAAAAATAAAAAAAAAAAAAAAAAAAAAAAAACTATGAACAAATGCGGACACAGTACAGGAGATGACCAGAGACTGTGGACATACAACGGCGGCGGGTATACTGGGCCGGCCGCTCCATAAGACGCACAGACAATTCCCCCCAAGTGTGTCTTGTGGAGCGAAATCGTGCCCCATCGCTGGTGGCAGTGGGGCAGTGGGGGGGGGGGGGGGGGGGGGGGAATCGTGCCCTATCGCTGGTGGCAGTCGTGGCTGGGGGGGGGGCAGGAATCGTGCCCCATCGCTGGTGGTCGTGCCCCATCGTTGGTGTCAGTGGGGGGGAGGAATCGTGCCCCATCGTTGGTGTCAGTGGGGGGGAGGAATCGTGCCCCATCGTTGGTGTCAGTGGGGGGGAGGAATCGTGCCCCATCGTTGGTGTCAGTGGGGGGGAGGAATCGTGCCCCCATCGTGCCCCATCGTTGGTGTCAGTGGGGGGGAGGAATCGTGCCCCATCGTTGGTGTCAGTGGGGGGGAGGAATCGTGCCCCATCGTTGGTGTCAGTGGGGGGGAGGAATCGTGCCCCATCGTTGGTGTCAGTCGGGGGTTGGGTCAGTGGGGGGGAGGAATCGTGCCCCATCGTTGGTGTCAGTGGGGGGGAGGAATCGTGCCCCATCGTTGGTGTCAGTGGGGGGGAGGAATCGTGCCCCATCGTTGGTGTCAGTGGGGGGGAGGAATCGTGCCCCATCGTTGGTGTCAGTGGGGGGGAGGAATCTGCCCCATCGTTGGTGTCAGTGGGGGGGAGGAATCGTGCCCCATCGTTGGTGTCAGTGGGGGGGAGGAATCGTGCCCCATCGTTGGTGTCAGTGGGGGGGAGGAATCGTGCCCCATCGTTGGTGTCAGTGGGGGGGAGGAATCGTGCCCCATCGTTGGTGTCAGTGGGGGGGAGGAATCGTGCCCCATCGTTGGTGTCAGTGGGGGGGAGGAATCGTGCCCCATCGTTGGTGTCAGTGGGGGGGAGGAATCGTGCCCCATCGTTGGTGTCAGTGGGGGGGAGGAATCGTGCCCCATCGTTGGTGTCAGTGGGGGGGAGGAATCGTGCCCCATCGTTGGTGTCAGTGGGGGGGAGGAATCGTGCCCCATCGTTGGTGTCAGTGGGGGGGAGGAATCGTGCCCCATCGTTGGTGTCAGTGGGGGGGAGGAATCGTGCCCCAACGTTGGTGTCAGTGGGGGGGAGGAATCGTGCCCCATCATTAGTATCAGTGACACCAATGATGGGGCACTATTCCTCCCCACTGATACCAATGACACTTAACTTGCTGACCCCTGTTCCAGCATGGTGCTGCTACAGCCAGCATACCTGGTTGCAGCAGCACCATCAGCATGGCACACTTACCTGTCAGCTGTCCTTCACTCCGGCCTCTCCCTCACTCAATGTTCGCGGGGCCGCTTGGCTCCGCCTCTTCGCAGGTGATTGGCCGCCTGTGTGCCTTTCCTGAGCTACAGTTCTGGTGCCCAATCACCGGTGAGGAGGCGGAGCAGAGCGGCAGGAGTGAGGGAGTGGCCGGAGTTAAGGAGCAGCGCTTCCTGGACTGGATCGTCGTGGGACTGGAGCCAGGTAAAGTATAGCAGCCCCCTGCCCACCCCTGCAGTTCGTGTCCTTTCTTCGCGGAAAACACGACCCTGCCGGCAGGCCGGATAAATGGCCACGGCGGGCCGCATGTGGCCCGCGGGCCGTAGTTTGGGGACCCCTGGTGTAAGACCTAACATACCCAGCTGGCAACACATCGGAGAACTAGACTGCTGCTCCTACACACAAGTGGGGCTTAAAGTATTACTAAACCCACAACAGTAAAATCAGCCTGTATATGAAGTAAAGCATGCTTGTTATACTCACTGTGGAACCTAAGGGGTTAATCCTCTGCATTGTGTAAAAACAAGATGTTTGATACTGACGTCTCTGATCTTTCCCTTCTTCCAGTGTCCCCCTCATCTCCTGATAAGACATATTGTGTGAAGACACTGCACATGCTAAGTTTGGTGTGTATTGCTAGAGGTTTTTTTTCCTTGGAAAAGTGCAAGTGATCAGCACAGGGCCAATCAGCACTGCCCAGACACAGGTCAGGGGTTCTGCTTCCTCCTAGGGCAGGGGAAGGCAACCTGCAGCTCTCCAGCTGTTGTAGGACTACAAGTTCCATCATGCCTCTGCAAGCCATAGCTGTAACGGTCAGTTTTGTAATGTTGCAATGCTTCATGGGAAATGTAGTTCCACAACAGCTAGAGAGCCGCAGGTTGCCTACCCCTGTCCTAGAGAAAACTCCTCCTACAAGCTTTAACTAGTGCTTAGCTGGACACTGATAGAAGTCACAAGACTGCTCTATCTGCTGATGAGAAAAGGCATTTAGCGGTTTATATTTACTAAAATAATTGCATTTCCATGTTCTGTGTACTGTGGGAGACCAGATATAGTGAATGCAGGGTCCTGGGTTTAGTAACACTAATGCAGGCCATAGACGGTTCTTTTATCGGCCGATTTTTCATCCAAAAAACAAAACATCGTTCGTTCTGTAAACTGATGTTGCCATGATTTTCGAAAATCTGTCATTTTCATGAATTTTCCAGCATGACCGATAAACGAAATGAGGAACCGCGAAAATCGGCCGATGCCATTACCCCACTACAGTGCGAAAATCAGCCAATTATTCTTTTGGATGAAAAATTGGCCGATAAACAAACCGTCTATGGCCTGCATAAGTCACCAAGTGGCCCAGCACACCCACCACCACCCCGTGTGAGAGCAGCATTCAGACTCCCCAAAGTACTTGCTGCAATGTTTTTAAAAACAGCATTTTTATTTTACTGCATATGCAACTTGACTGCATTACAGTAACATTCTAAAGGTTTAAGCTTTAAAGCCCAATTGCCCACAGCCCCTTGTGAATATATTACCATCTGGTCCTGTGCAATTATTTCTATAGACTACCATGAGCAGGTGGACATGGACACTCACCTTGTTGTAGATGTAACAGTTTGTAAACATGGTATTAAAATCCTGCATGCATTCATTAGCACTCCAATAATAGTTATTTTCAAGTCTCTTTTTTATTGTCCCCATATCCATTGGATTCTTGATTATTTTGTGATAGTCCTGTAAGTAAATATAATGGGTGGTTCAGAATTTGCTTTGTGGTGGTTGGGTGCTTTTTACAATGTGTAAGAAAAAACAAGCTTAGAGTGTAGCAAATGTACGCTCTGTTGCCTTGCAAACATGCAAATATTTCCAGCACTTTTTGACAGGCCCACAGAGCTTAGCATTCTCATGCACAGCAAAGTGCTTCTGAGAAGCATCAAACATGCACTACGATGATGCTGAAGGTAGCGGCTTTAAGCATGTAATCTTTCAATGCTCCGGTATGATGTGCTGCCAGATTACACTGGAATAAATCTAATTGTAGCACCTGCAAATTAATGCCGAGGTGGCTCAAAAAGCAACCAATATCACCACCCCCCACAATAAAGAGTATTTTGGAACAGTAACATCCCTGCAACACAAAAGCCAGGAGGTGACTTACAGGTAGGTTGAGCTTGATACAGTCTACTGGCTGGTAGAATGGCCAGGCAAACTGGTGCTTCCAAAGTGTCTTCACCACCACATTCTGCATGTACTGGAGCTGATTGGTCTTACGACCTGGCTTGTTGGAGTTTGTGACTTCTGGAGGGGGCGGATTTACCGGCCCCTGAGGAGCCTGGGCGGTGGCTGTGGCCGCAGACATGATTGCCTGTCACTGGGTTATTTCCCTTCACAGCAACTCTGCAGAGCACTCTCTTCCTTTATGGCCCCCGGAAGGGAATGACATCCCATTTCAAGGGTCCCACCATAGAACCTAGATGTAAAAATAAAAAATATGATCAGAAAACCTGAGTAAACAGTTTGGGAACTCATTGATTAGGCTAAACTAGCTCTGCTTCTGCCTTGGTCTCCCTTTGTTTATCTAAACTAATTTAAACTAACTTTTAAATAGCTCCTAAATCTCTTCCAAATGTATTACAAAACAGAGGAAGGGGAGGGGAATAGAGATTGTGAAAAAAAAAAAAAAGTCATGTTCCTGCACAGTGACATCACTGGAGGGTACTGACAACAGCCCAAGATAACTTTCAACATAAAACAGCTATACAGTAACACAAATCCTGATGGTTTTTTACAGACTAGGGAGTTCTTCAAAACTTAAATCAACTGTGAAACGCAAGAAACAATGTTCAGCACTAGGATTAGATGGCTCAGGCACCAGGTTTTTATTATTAAACCATAAATACAACATTGTATTAAAGAGAAAACTTGATGAAAGAAAAAAGGATGCAAACAGAATCAGTATTTGATCATTATAAATGTATTGAGTAAAAGTCATTATACAACATACTATCAGTCTTCTACGATCATTAACCGTTTTCCCCCCGCCGCTCTGTAGTAGAAATACTGCTACAGGGAGGCAGTCAGGAGTGCGCAAAATCACACACACACACTTCTGCATTTCTGGGTTGGGGGCGCACGCGAGCCCTACACGCTCAGCCATTCACAGCCTGGGCTGTCGATCACCGGGTCCCAGCCTGTGATTGGCGAGTATTACCGATGGGGGAAAGAGCTGTAAACAATACATATCTCTCCCATCAGCTCATGCACTCTGCTTTGCATGGATCTGCATAGCAGAGCCATACAGAGCAGTGTGCTTACAGTGGAAAGCACACACACAAAGCCTCATAGTAAAACACACACAGCAAACAGTTAACCCTTTGATCGCCCCACGTGTTAACCCTTTCCTGCCCATTGCCATTAGTACAGTTTCAGTGCTTTTTATTAGCACTGATCACTGTGTATTGGTGTCACTGGGGATTTCAGTGACAAGTTCCCCCCCAGTGTCATAATGCCCACCGCAGTCCAGCTATAAGTCGCTGATCAACGCCATTACTAGTTTAAAAAAAGAATACACCACCATTTGTAGACGCTATAACTTTCACGTAAGCCAATTAATTGACATGTATTGGGATTTTTTTTTTTTTTTTTTTTTTAGCAAAGATGTAGCAGAACACATTTTGTCTTAAATTTGATTTGTTTAATTTTTTTACTGGATATGTTCAATCGCAAAAAGTCAAAAATAGTTTTTTTTTTCTCAAAATTAAAAAAAAATCGGGGTTTTTTTTGTTTACAGCTAAAAAAAAAAAAAAAAAAAATTATGGCATATCCCGCTCCCATAAGTGGATTTTGGTGGATTTATTTATATGTGCATATTCAATGCGCATCTGGCGAGTGCGCAATTTTACTATATCTTCCAAGCACAAACATCTGAGTATCGCTGCGGCTGGGATCCTATATTACCATTATCATTTTATGAACATTTATGAACGTTTGATCTCTGAGTCATTAATATTTACTGGTTCATTTTAGAAAAAAATCAAACATTTAGAAGTCTGGCAATCTCATTGTTCTTTAAATGTAATGGGTAGATAAGCAGAATATCTGATAAATCTCAAAATCTATGCCGAGTCAAACTTTTCCCTACATGGATCATATGCTGCAAAGGCAGACAATTTTCTATATCCCAGAAAATCTCAACAATGGTTGATATGAACTTTCAGACTCAGTGGTGTTAAATCCAAAACCAAACATTTTTTATATTGTAACTTACCAATTCTTAGATGCAATGACCGCATTCGTTTTCTTATTTAGACTTTCATCTGGGGATCTGGCCAGTAATTCTGTTGTTCAACAGAACAAGCTCTCTTGCAGATGTATCAGTTACAGGGATGATACAAACCATTTAACATTGGCAGGGGTGCTTATAATATTCAGCTTTTATTTTGTATGTAAAATCTTTATCCAAAAAGGAAACAAAATGTAACTGCTTATAAAGTGTGAGCTGGAGTTTGGCTTCAACTTGTTAGTGTATCTAAATCTGCTAGTCCATCCAGCATCTCCCCTCCCCCCAGACTGACAATACTGCTGTACAAATATGACCCCTGTGCAAGTGTGGGGGCACTCTAATACAAGAGGTATGTTACTGGCCTGAACACTAGAGGAAAATAGAGGGGTGAAAAAAGCCTAAATAGAGAAAACAAATGCAGCCACCACATTTACGGATTGGTAAGCTGCAATAATATACTTTTGGCTTAGGGTTTAATACCGCTTTAAGGAGGTGGACACAAGTTTTGACAGATTCCTTCTGAATCAGCTGAGATTGGAGCTGTTGGTACCACTGTAAACACAAGTTTTTTTTTCAAAGAAGCGGGGTGTAAAATTGTCAGCTGAACAATGACTGCATCAAATCAGATGCAGCAACTGTTTGGGTATTCTTGCAGACATGGGTGTTGCCAACAACGCTATGTAGCGTGAATGTAGGAATCTGTTACTCCGTAATCAGATCATTTGCAAACAATCACTTTAGATTGGTCTGCAAGAAGAAAAAAAATAAACCAGAAGCAGTCCCCCAATTAAAAACTTCCATCACATTTTATCATGGCCAGATGAATATCATAACAGAATGCCAAGTTCTCTGTGGGTTTCTGACTCCATGCAACTTCCATCTACAGATTCTAAAGTTTAAGCAGAAAGCGACAAAGCTACTTTTTATTCTATGGAGTAACGATTTTCTTGATCATACAATACAGGACACAGGTAGAGATGACAGTTAAAGGCAGGTACCTTCAGGGAATTGGAAATTTGATGTAGGTCCCCTCTCTGTGCTTCCAGAAGGACCTCGAGGAGGGCTCCCTGCATCTCGTTCCACTATTACTAAGTGGATTTGTCACAGAGTGGTTTGGGCCTACTCAGCAAAGGACACAGTTGCTCCCTTTAGGATGAAGGCTCATTTCACTAGATCCGTTGGTACAGTTTGATCTATTCAGCATCAAACTTCTGTGTTGCAAATTTGTTAGGCTGTCAATAGGTCTTTGGTTCATATATTTACTGTTTCACTGGGTGAGCATTCAGGCCTCAGCTCATGCTGTTACCCTCCCCTCATTGGTACTGTTTGGGGACATTCCAGTGGTTTCTAAGTCTGCTTGTGTCCTGTACCATAAGATCAGAAGAAAAAAAAAAAAAAAAAAAAAGAAGTTTACAGACAAGTCAAAAAACCCATTACCTGACTGTTTATCCAGAAAAGCTGGTTTCCTGCTCAAATGTAGCCTAAATATAGAGCAATACCATCCAACTATCCATCCAGATCTCCCAGGTTATAGGATATACACAGTTTTTATCCAATTCGCCTCCCATAACCACTGGTTTATATCCCATATACAGCCAAAAGAAAGTACCCACTATTCAACCAGAAATCCAGAACCACTGGTTTATAGTACAGATACAGAGCCATTTATCCAGCTGTACACCCAAAGCTGGTGGTATATAGCATAGATACAGCCTAAATATACACTCACTGGTCACTTTATTAGGTACACCTTGCTAGTGCCAAGAAAATAACCGCATACCATTATACTACCAGCAGCAGCCTAAACCATTGATAAAAGGCAGCATGGATCCATGCTTTCATGCCGTTTACACCAAATTCTGATCCTACCATCTGAAAGTCACAGCAACCAGTCTGCCCATTCTCCTCTGACAAGGCATTTTTACTGGATATTTTCTCTTTTTTGGACCATTCTCTGTAAGCCTTAGAGATAGTTGCGTGTGAAAATCCCAGAACAGCAGTTTGTTAAATACTAAGACCAGCCCGTCTGGCACCAACAACCATGCCACATTCAAAGTCACTTTTCTTCCCCATTCTGATGCTCAGTTTGAACTTCAGCAAGTTTTCTGCACCTCATCTAGATGCCTAAATGCACTGAGTTACTGCTATGTGACTGGCTGATTAGCAATTTGTGTTACCAAGCAATTGAACGGGTGTACCTAATAAAGTGTCCAGTGAGTGTATAGACACATGGAAAACTAAACTCACTCCAGCAACCTTTATTTTATCCCTCCCCTTCCTTTAACATCCTCGGCGGTCTGATTATTTCCGATTTTTTGTGCTGAAAGCGGTACCATTTTTTGCACGGAAATATGTAGTTTATTGTAGGCTGTAATTTTTAGGAATAACTCACTGAAATCTGTACGAACAAGAATCTAGTAAACATCCCGGGTAGGATAAAATTTGAAACACGAAATCATAAATTATAATTTAATAAATAATCATACAAAATAATATAATAATAATAAATTTAATTCAATAATATAATTAAACCAAAAACACTGAAATTTGAAATAAATTCGCACATCGCTGAGCAAAGTCGCAATATTGTTTTCAGTGTCTGATGACGAATTTCCCCACGAATCATTATCACTCAATTCTACAAGTGGTTCTGATTTACTATCGCTGTTCTCTAGCTGGTCTAAAACCGCTTTTGACGTAAAGGGACGCTTTTTGGATGCCATGGACTTTTCTAAGTTTCCAGGCAGAAAGAACAGTCAAAATGCAGCCAGGGCACAGGACAAAGCAGTAGGGACAAAATGTATGTGAAATGCATTGAAACAGCAATGTTTTACTATGTAATAATCATTTTAAAAAAAAGAAATAAAAAAATTTCAAATTTGCCGCCGGTTCAGGCGCCCGTACATCCCGACGTCACAGGGACCGGAACACGGAAGCCGGATGCCGGCATCGGCCGGAGGAGATGGCCGGGGACGCTGCAGGGGACACATCGTGGGAGCGAAGGACAAGGTAAGTGCTGCAAGGACTCCCCGAGCAACGCCGCATGGTAAGCCCGAGTGTAGCTCGGGGTTACCACG